ATTATAATTATAGTACTTAAGATCTAAAGATCCGGGCTTTAGAGTAATAGGCTTATTTATTACTAGGGTCTTAAGAGCGGGCTTTATATAAGGAGTACTTCCTAAACTTGGCTTATTTATATCTTTATTAGCTTTCTTAAATACTTGATTTTTCTTTTTATAATAAGCTCGGATTTACTAGTTATTTATAATATAGTATTATATAAACTTTATAATATAAATAGCCGGGTTATTATAATATATAGCTATAGCCTCTTAAAGCTTTCAGGTAAGCTTATTATTTAGATTATTTTTAAGGTCCTATAAATTAATATTTCTATTTATTATATATTTTAGAAATAGGATATAGAATTCCTGAAAGATCTGGCTTTTCTTTATAAATAGCTTCTTAAAGGCTTACTAAGTATTATACTTCTTATTTAGGTTACTATATAGCTTTTCTAGATAAATATATAGTTTTCTAATAATCTTATATATATATTAACTATTCTGGTTTAGGTAAGGAAAGATTAGTATAAGAATATAGCTACCTATATAGCCGGAAATATAGATAATCTTGAGGTCCTTTATCTAGTAAGTATTAGAGTTACTATAAAGCTTATTCTTAATCTAAACTAACTAATTATTAAAGGTAATACTGTCCTTAGTTATGCCTTTAAAAATAGGAAAGTCAGGGAATTTAACTAAATATTTACTTTCTAGAGCAGGGGAACTAGTTATTCCTATAGGCTATATAATAAGCTTCTTAATAATAGCTTTATTCTTTTATAAGGCTTGCTTAGTTTCTCTTAGCTAATTATAATAATTCTCGCTATAGATAAGAATATTATATATCTTTAGAATTAGCTTAATAATCTCTTTATATAAAGCCTCTAGGCTTTAAAGTAATTCTTAGAAGTCTGCCTTTAATAGAACAGGTTTCTCTTCTTTCTTGGCTTTCTAAAAAAAAATCTCTTTTATTATAAGTATTAATAGGATATTTAGATTCTTTAGGAAACTTAATAAGAGGCTCTAGTTTATCTTCTAGTAGTATACTAGTAGTATCTTATACTATAGCTCTTTCTAACTTGCCTAGTTATTCTGGGACTTGCTTTTTTATAGGTTTTTATTTAGTAATAAGGTTACTGGCCTATCTGCTTATCTGGCCGGTTTAGGGCTTTCTTACCTAGTTATTATAGGGCTTTCTTTTATTCTAATATTAGTTAATTAATATAGAAATAGCTATGGCATATTATATCTGTACTTATTGAAAACTAATTAGATAGGTATTATTTAAATCCTCTATAGGATTAAGAAGTAAGTAAGCTTTAAATTATATTATAAGTATAAGATCTAGAGCCTGGAAGGCATAGTTAGATTATTTCTATTTCAATAATTTAAAGCTAAAGAGAAAAGAGAATCTTAAAGAAGCCTCGGATCTAAATAATTACGAGCTATATACGGGCCTATATACTAGCTTAAGCTCGGGATTACATATAATAATCAGGTAATTATAGATGCCTTACTCAGATACCAGATATCTCTTTTAGATACTAGATATCTCTCTAGCTCTAGTCTAACCCCTACTAGTACTATATATTATAATAACCGTAATAAAATAAAAGAAATAAGATATAAATAATAGTTTTATATTTAATTAAATATTTAATTAAGCTTTTTAAGAAATCCGGCTATTATATTTATTTTAATAATTTCTTTATTTCTATTTGTTTTATCTAATATACTTATTTTTAGAAAGTTATAATTACTAGAATATATAAAATAACTAATAGAGTTATTTAAAAGCTTTTTAATTTCTAGAAATCAGATAAAAAGAATATAATTCTTTAGAAAGAAATCTATTCTAGATATATATTTAATAGAAAAATTAAGCTTTTATTTTAATAATATTTTCTTTTATATTAGATAATAAGTATACTTTATAGCTAAGAAAAAGGCCTAAAAAGACTTTTTCTAAAATAAAGACTATATAAATATCTTTTAATAATTAGATTATAAAAATATTTTTAATTCCTGTAATTATAAATAAATATAATTATTATATAAGAGTAATTAATAAATTTAATTATTTAATTACCCAGAATACTAGTTTATAATATATAAAATAAAAAAAGTATTAAGTATTAGAATATTAGCTATTTTATATGGTTTTAATTAATTATTATTTATTAGTTTATTATTTAGATATATTAGAGCCTTAATAAATAAGCTTTAGAAACTAGTAGAACTTTAGGAAGTAATTAATTATTACTTTTCTAGTAAAAGAAAGAAATAATAAAATTTACTAGAAGAAAAGAATATTATAAATTAGCTAAAAAGCTAATAAAGTATTTATATAATTATATAAATAAATAAAGCTTAATAAAAATAAGAGATATATATATTATAAGAAATTGAAATATATAGATTAATCTAAAAAACGAGTTATACTAGCTTAAATTATAGCTAATTAAGGCAGAAAAAGCTTAAAATATAATTTTATATAAGAATATAAATAATATAATATTTATTTATATAAATATAGAAGTTGTTTTAAGGTTTTTTATTAGAATTTATATTTTTTATCTCCTAAAACAGCTTTCTAATTAGCTATAATTAAGCGAGAATTAATATATATAGTCTAATAAATATCTGGCTATAATAAAACAAATAATATATAATAAAATAATAGTTTTTTTAATAAAAAAAGTTACTAGATAATTTATAGAAAATTATTATAAATTTGAAATAAAGTTAATTATTAGACTAAATAAAAGTAAATTACTAAATTAAAGCTATTATAAAAACTAGAGATTTTATTAATATCGGGCTAGCTTTATTTATTTACTTTATATAAGATATATTTAAATTTAATAATATAAATAAATAAAAATTATTATTTTATTAAAATATATAAAGCTTATTTTTAGTCTTTAATTATTTATTTGAATTATTATATACTTATAAAAATTAATTCTATAATTATATATATTTTATATAAAAAAGCTATAATAGAATTATTAATTAGATAAAGAACTTTAGATTAAAATAAATATAATAAAACTAAATAATAAAGTTTTTAATAACCGGGCTATTAATTTATAACTTAGCCTTAATTAAAAGCAATTAAATATTAAATTTATATATTAAATTAGTAAATTTCTTAAAGTTAAAAAGCTTTAATTTCTGGCTATTTTTTACTTATAAAGTAATAATTTTTATTTATAAGCTATTGAATTTATATTAAACTTAAGTTTAAAAAACATTTATTTTTAAAGAAATATTAATAAAGTTAATAAAAAGACGGAAAAATTATAAAAATAAAAGTATTTATTAATAAATTAAATTAAATAAATATTTAGAAGCTATATTTTATTAAGTTAGATTAAGGTTTTATTAAGAGTTATATTTATATTAATTAAATAAAATAAAATAATAAAGTATAAATAATATTATATAAATAAATAAAGAATTATAAGCTTTATAATACTAATACTTGCTATTAAGGATATAAGAAGCTTTAGATAATATAATAGCAGAAATAAATTAATAAATAAAGATTTAAAGATTTAAGATTTTAAGATTTTAAGAATCTAAAGCTAAGAGAAAAAGAAGTAAAATACAGTAATAAATAAATAAATATGGCTAAAACTATTAAAATACCGAGCTTAATTTGAATCTTATTATAAGACCGGGTCTCTGGGCTTAAAAAGCAAGGTAGAGTAGCTCTATTCCGAGGATTCTAAACTAAGGAAAGAAGCTCTTAAGTACGGGAGCTTTAGTATTCTAAATACTAGAATAGCCGCATGTATTATTACGGTTATATAACGCTAAATTTACTAGTAAAGCGGCTGAGTATTACAAATCTTAGCTTAAAACCTTAACTAAAACCAAGTTCGTATTAATTATATAATACTAGCCGTTATAGAAAGTATATTAATATTATAATATTATATTTTCTATTTCTAAATATTAATTACATTATTAAATAAATACAAATATTATTTTATAACTATATAATAATATTATATATTATTAATAAACTAATATTTATTAACTTTATATAATTAAATTTATATAGATTTTTTCTTTTAATAATATTTATTTATAAAATATATTTATTAAGCTTAATTTTTAATTATATATATATTTAAAGAGTTATATTTTTAAAGAAATTAAATTAAACTAAACTAAATAAAAAGCTTTATTTATTATATATTTTAAGATTATTATTTTATTATTATTATATATTTAATATTTTTTTTGAATTTAGCTTAAAACTTTTATTAATTAATTAATAATTTTGTTTACTTTAATATATTTATAATAATTTAAATATTAGTAATTTTATATATAAAAATATTAATTTTTAAATTTTTAAATAAAATTATAAAAAGAAAATAGCTTAATAAAAAAGTATATTATTTAAAGTAATAATATATTATTTAAAGTAATAATATAATTTTTAAAATAAATATTGATATTATTACATAAATTTCTGTGGGACGCTTAGAGAGTCTGAGATGAATCTGCAATGGGGATGGAGATGAATATCTGTCTCTCGAACTTGGGCACAGAGACGGAATATGTGGTTATCCATTAAGTAGGATGATGTCTTAGCCGTTAGATAATCGGATGCACGGGGTAAAATTGAGGCCAATGATTCAAGCCCATTGCGAATGCTACCCGGAATCTATCCAAGAGAGATATCCGTTCTCGGTGTGCCACCCAATTCCCGCCCGAGATTCTGACTTTGCATCCAACTTCCGGACGCGGGACAGAGAAAATGGCTGAAATGTTCGCAAGACTGCTTGATTATCCTCCGTGATAATGCAGATAAGGACCAAAGGAGTATGGTTTCACCACGTCAGTAATCCATCGGTTGGTGGAGGGGGATATGAAGCCAAGAGGCTTGCTTGGCAGTCTTTAGTGCTTCTCTCACACTACAAAAATGCCGGCATCCGAGTACAAAACACGGCAGACAAGAATCCCATCGAGGATTCTTTCAATGCAGAACACTTCCTCAATTATTCATGTTCAATTTAAAAACAAACGAAAACCCAAAGTTCAAGCCAACACCGCCTCCTGGACTCCTCCAGAGGGCGGAGGTCCACCGCCACCACACTCACCGACGTCGTCGTCGTCCTCATCACAACCCCCCAGCACCCCGTGCTCATCCCACTCATCTTCATCTTCACTCTCCTCTCCTCTCCCATCCTCATCCATTTCCTCTCCCCCTCCCTCTCCCCCCACATTGCCAGCAGCAAATGCCGCATTCGCAGCAGCCAACTCTCGTCTCATATGCAATTTATATTTTTGGGATTTTTGGGCCTCGGCCCGTTGCTTCCGAAGCCGCTTCTTCTCCTGCCGACTCATCTTCTTCCTCGGAGCGGCCTTGGCGGCAGCACGCCGGGCTTCAACTGCTGCAATTTGGGCCCGCAGCGTGGGGGGGAAGATGGAGGGGTCGTCGAGGGTGGTGGGGGTGGGGGTAGGAGGGGTGGGAGGGGCGGGAGGGGCGGCTGAGAGGGTTGTGCATCCATGTTAGCCATCTATCCAAGTGCCAGGTCTACCAACCCCCCTCCCCCCCAAAGGAACATAGCAGAAAAATGAAAAGAAACGGAATGACTAGAGAATGCAAATTCTTTTGGGGGGGAGGATTCTGGGTGGTTCTTGAGAAGATGTTTTTGTGAAGGATCCAAGCTTTCATAGAGCGAGAGTTATCCAGCTTTTTCTTCGGCAACAGGAAAGCTGAATGTTCAAGGAGAGTTGCTTTAACTTGCTTACCTCGGCTTCTGACCGGAAGGGTCATCTGCAGGCACTTGCCATTGCCTTCTTTCTTGTCCTTCTCTTCTTCCCTTCGCCGTTCGGCCTTTTTGGCCTTCTTCTCGTCCGAAATCGGGTTGTAATCAGCGCGTTTCTATTTATCGCCGTTAGTTACCGCTGCTCAACAGACTATTTGAGACCTAATTTGAGGCAGCTGGAAGGCTCGAGTCAATGCAAAGCTGATAGGGGACACAGCTTCCTGTTCAAGTATAGACATGCATGGTGTACTCAACTGCCTTTACTAAAAAGAGATACACACTTACGCCTGTCATGGTTGATGTTGTACAGCGGTGGTTGATCAAGAGAAAGTTGCTTCCATCCGAAGAGTGAAAGTTACACACAGATCGGAGCCTGAAATTTCTTTTCACAAGTGAATCTCGTGTCAATTCTTTGAATCCTCTTCGCAATCTCCCTCAAAGTTGATCAATAAATATCACGTGCATAAAAGTATAATTATTCCGGGAAGCATACTGCGAAAGCGCACATGCCAAATCTCAGATATTTTATTATATACTATTCTAATCCAGACGTAAAAGAATATCATCGTCTTTCCTAATGAGAAGGGCAAAATGAAATCTTCTAAACGATTTTATCGGAAGTAAACATACTCAGCGAGCTAAGCGAACGACAAGCGAGAGGAGTTGCGATGCCAAAAAATTTGTGTACTACGAGGCTACAAAATGCCAAAAAAGAAAAAGGTTTTTGGTATGTACAAGTACATGGCAGTGTATTTCAACCGCGAATAAGGGGTGCAATGCTCAAGGACCACTTCGCACCGTCACTGCTCGAGGCTAGACGGGGGGGGATTCTTTGCTTGAGAAACATTGATCAGTAAAACGTCAAGTGTGGAAACCCTCAAACGTTTAGGGAATGGGGGTGATGATACGTATCCTGCGCACAGCCGTCTGACCACTAAGCTAGACGGTGCGCTGATTCTATTTGGAAAACAAATCTCTTATTTTGTTATAAGTGAGTCGGGTTTGGAGTGGGTCGCGATCACGGGATTTAGCGAGAACCCCCTTTTCTCATTCACTTCCGCGATCGCAATCGCGATCACTCCATCCATTTGTGCGATCGAAATCTGAAATCCTCAATTATTGGGTATGTATTTGAAAAGAAGGCGACACTGATTTTCATTGTCCTCAGTCAGTCAAGGTTGGGACATTTTATCTTGACTTTGAGAAGATATTGATTTAAATTTAGAACTTCCAAGGTATTCGACGGGCTGGAGATGTACGAGAACTCGAGGGAACATTGGGAGAGGGGAGAGGGAGTAGTTGAGATACCCCACTGGATTTGGCACATTTACAGCCGCCTCTTTTGTCCACGGCGAAGCTGAAAGGAGCTGTTTGATTGAGCGAGACGGAGGGCGGGGATCTTTGAGCCTCGGGAACACGTCATGGAAATTGGAAGTTCAAGGTAATATTTACAGGCACATGCATGCAGTGGTCAAAATCGTTGAATGTGGTAGCATTAAGGCAGGGCTCTAACCCACAAAGGAAAGCAAAAGCAAAAGCAATCTGTATTCATAAAATCGAGCGTAAAAGTCCGCACGCAATATCAAACAAAACTCCAGCATAATCTGACGGCCAATTTAGTTAATCCCAAGTCATGTCACTCACCGTGAGCTTCTTGATCAAGAAGTGGTGGTTTACACCCACCAAAGCAACTGCTCTCCAATTAAGGAGAAACAGATCTAGCGGTTGTATCCTGACCGTCCCACTCCTTTCCAAAAATACCCAACAGATTCCTGGCGGCGATCTCTCCCGTCTCAAAGGCACCATGGACACAGCCGTTGCCGACCTCGATGCAATGTTCGCCGGCGAATTGTAACCTCTTGTTTCGGTGTTCGTCGAGTGCATTGACCAGGATCTCGGAGTTGTCGCCGACTTTCTCGACGCTGTAGGAACCGAAGCCGGCGAGGGGGTCGAGAGTCCAGTGCGTGGTTTCGATGTTCAAGAGATCAGGGAGGTCTTTGTACGGCTCCGTGCGGAGGATTTTGAACAATGGCTCGAAGAAGGCGTACAGATCGGTGTGGTCCATGGACTCGATGCGTTGGGTCAGCGGCTCCGCGACCTGAATGCAGAGTTCCTTGCTTCCGGACATGATCCAGAGATTCGAGGTGACTGTTGCGTAGGACAGGATAGACGACTCGTCGATGGGTGCCCCGGCCGGGATTGGGGACGGATAGTACATGAACTGATCGTTGTCCTTTGGCCAGAAAACTTCCGAGAATTCAACGAATACTTTTCCTAGAGCACCGTAGGAGAATGAGTTTAGTCCACGCTGGATTGAGGCCGGAATCGGCGGGGAGAACGAGATCGTATTTCGACGGAGGCATCCGAGGGGAACCGTCACGATGACGGCGTCTGCGGCGTAGGTTCCATTCTGGGTCTGGACAACAGTGGATAAATCAGAATCTCCCCAAGTGATGTTCTTGACTACTTCACCCAGATGAATCATGTTCGGGTCCTTGAGAAGCGGCTTTGCGGTCCAATTGACGATCTTGTCGTATCCACCTTTCATGTAGAGATTTCGCTCCGTCATGAAATAGCTCAGATGCTTGGCAGATGCATTGTCAATGGAAGTTCCGATCCACAGCTCGACTTCTCGGGTTGCTTGTGGGGCCCATTTTCGCTCGGAGGCAGTGATCAGAGGATGTTTGGCCACAAAATCGTCGACGGAATCTTTGACGGAGCGATCGGGTGCATTGGGGTTCTCGTCGTAGTACCACTCAATCCAGTCAGCAAACTCATCAGCGACTTTCTTTGCCTTGAACTGAGATCCGGCTCTTCCGTCTCGGGTATAGTACAGCGGCGTTCCGTCGTCATAGTAATACTCGATACCAAGCTTTGGGATCAATTGAACAAGCTTGTTCTGCGAAGTTTCGTGCATCCACGCAGCGCCTAAACCTTCAGTGTGAGCATGATCTTGCCAGGGAGAAGGATAAACAACCCACAGATTGTGTGGCGTCAAGCACCACCCACAATTGAAGATATTGTCTAGTCTAGGTAAAATTTACCAATGTCTCTGGCACCCTTTCCATCTCGTCTGCTCGTGCAAATGCGACCTCCAATGCGGTCCGGACGTCCTTCGAGGATGGTGACGGCGATTCCATGGCGTTGCAAGACGGATGCGGCTCGCAATCCAGATATGCCAGCACCCACGACGATGACGTGCTGTCTCTTAGAAGACTCGAGGGCGAGTTTTTCAAGTGTGGCATCCACCGCAGAGGGCATTACAGCGACCTTGGGTGCTGGCGCTTGGACTCCTGCAATTACTTCGTTTTGAATTTGACGATGGTTTATTTCGTTTAGATTTAAAGCGCCAGGAGCTGATATGAATAGCGTCGACATACTGACTCAACATCTGCGTTGTATGGGCGAGGTCTTGCCTTGAGAAGGGGTATGAAGGGGGTGGGTTGTTGAAGGGTTGCGAGGCTGCGAGCTCAATTCGAGAGTGTCGCTGGTGGACGGTTCAAGAGGTTGCGAGTTGATTGAAGGAGATGTTGTCAAACGGTGTATCTATCCAAGACTCGATTGTGTTGGTGAAGAAGGAAGGAGGGCGAGAGTGGGAGGCGAAGGTTAGGTTCACGATCAAATAGGTTGGGGTGTCTCGGCAGCGGCGTCCTCGCGTAGCGCGGGCCCCACGCCCATCCACCCCAAACACTGGCACTTCCATTCACGTTCCTGACACGCACCCATCCCTTCCATCTCGCCAATCTCACGCCGTGTTCTCGAAGGCATTTCTGCAGGGTCTATCAGCAGCGAATCCCGGCCCCTGTACTTCGTAGTGTACAATGACGACCGCATCGCCAGCCTCCACGGCATCTTATCTGGCACTACTCGCATTCGGGCAAGTACAGCCGTGGCGTGGGATTGGGGAGGGACAGACAACCAGGAGCCTCGACGACGGCATCGAGCCGATTTGGAGGAAGGCCGTCTTCGCTGCATCTTCGAGACCGCACCGTGCAGCTTCACGAGCTGATGCTACTGCTGCTGCTGCTGCTTGCCGAATGGGGGCAGTGTCGGGCGCTCATGTGATGCTGTCGGGGACGAGGAGGTGCGTCCAGATGCACAGCAGCGAGAGGGAGAGGCTCGAAATGGTGGTTTGCAGATGGGCTGACTAATACGGTCCGCCCGACGCTACTTATGGGCCAGCTCCACCACCACCAGCACCAGCACCTCCACGGACCACCAACTGACTGGGCCAGCCAATTTCACCGACGTTGAACCTTCCCTGGCACTCGAAATTCGAGATAAGAGGTCGCTGTTTGCCGCGCCTGGGAATACCTGACCTGGATGAGGCGTCCGCTCTGGCTCTCTGGCTCGGACTGGACGGCGAGGGCGAGTTGCTGAAGGACCCCTCCTGCAGTCCCCCGGACCTCGGTCTGATCTTCCAACCGCAGCACGCGAACACGTCTGCGTTTCAATCTCAAATTATACTCCGATTCACGTCTGACAAACCACAACGTCGGGTGCCACCATCCGCTCCTCGCTCTACAGTACTCAAGTAATGGCATGGTCCGGTTTATTGGCCATCTCGGGCAGCACCGCCCTGCTCGATCGGCGGTGGTGCGGCATCAGAATCTGCAACAGGGAGGTGCAGCTTATCAGCGCGTGGCCAATTGTCAACCCCACAGAGTGGCAGCGACTCAGCGACTGGCATTGGATGGGAGTTCCTGATCCAGCAGATCGCCGCGTGCGCAGGGGAGCTGTTATCATGTCGCAGCCGAACGTGACAATTTCTTACCTTCCTTTTTTATCGAGAGCTGAACTTTTAAAACACAACATGTCCTCTTGACGCGCTTTTGCGAAGGTGTTCCTGCAGAATTCCCCTCCTTCACGTATTTTCTTCGGTGTCTGACAGCTTCGCGGGCAATTGTTGCAATTTTAACACGCTTTGTCACCCCACTTTTCCCAGAATACCCCAAGGCTCCATCAATTGAGATAGATGGAAGAAATAGACTTCATCCCCGGCACTACGCGCCTCGTCGAGGACCACGATCATGCTGCCACCTCCCACTTGAAGAAGCATGGGGACATCATTCTCTCCCCCCAACCAACAAACTCCCCGAACGACCCTCTGAATTGGTCTCTCCCACGCAGATGCTGGCATGCCGCCCTTCTCTGCTTCGTCACAGCGCTCACAGCTGCAACCTCCAATGACGCCGGATCAGCTCAGGATGGAATGAACACCGACTTGGGAATATCATACAATGCGATGAATACAGGCGCCGGAGTCCTATTCATTGGAATCGGGTATTTCACACTTCTGATCTCACCCGCAGCCTGGCTCTATGGAAGACGAATCACATTCCTCATATGTATTTTCCTGGGAGCGATGGGAGCTATTTGGTTCGCAAGAGTGCAAAGCACGGAAGATTCCATCTGGAACCAGCTCTTCGTCGGCGCGTCCGAAGCTTGCGCAGAAGCCAATGTCCAGCTCTCGCTCTCAGAGGTCTTCTATTCACATCAGCGAGGAGCAGTTCTCGGCGTTTACGTTTTGTCTACAAGTATCGGAACATACCTTGGTCCCTTAATCGGCGGATTTGTGGCAGACCGAATTGGCTGGCGCTGGATCGGCTGGCTCTCGGTAATCATTTCCTTGGGCACAGTCGTCGTCCTCTTCTTCACGCTCGAAGAAACCCTCTTCGACCGCTCCGCCTACGACGTTGGCACAATCGACGGTGTGCACCAAACCGGCGATACCCCTCATCCGCACCACTCAGAAAACGAAAAGACTGCCGATCTCAATAAATCCCACTCCCCCTCTGACGTCCCCGCTGAATCCTCGATGGAGAAGAAGAAGACATACTGGCAGCGAATTCAACTGATTACATTAGCACCCAACGTTGTAGGCACAGGCTTCAAGCAATACATCTCCCGCCTCCTACACACCCTCCGCGTCTTCACCTTCCCAGCGGTCCTCTACAGCGGCCTGCAATGGGGCGCCCAAGACGCCTGGCTAACCTTCTACCTCACCCTCGAAGAAAGCAACTGGTTCGGCCCGCCGTGGAACTACTCTGACGTCGGCACTGGCCTCATGAACATCCCAACCCTCATCGGTGCCGTGATCGGCTGTTTCTGGGGCGGCTGGTTCTCCGATCTATTCGTCGCTTGGTACGCTAAGCGCTTCCGCAAGGGTATTCGCGAGGCGGAGGATAGACTGTGGATGATGTACCCCTGCGCCATCATCTCTCCCGTCGGCATGCTTTTGTTCGGCATCGGGACTGCCTATGGCTGGAACTGGCTGGCCCCCTACGTCGGACTCGGCTTCATCGGTTTCGGCTGGGGTTGCGCGGGCGATCTGTCTATGGCGTACCTCATGGACGCCTACCCGGAAATGGTGCTGGAAGGCATGGTCGGTGTTGCGGTGGTGAATAACACACTGGCTTGTCTGTTTACGTTCACGGCGTCCGATTGGCTGGGTGGTGGCGTGGACAGTGTTAGGAACTGCATGATCGAGATCGCGGTGCTGGATTTCGTGTTTGTCATGCTGACGGTGCCGATGATGCTCTACGGCAAGAAATGTCGACGGTGGACGTTGAAGCGGTACGAGGATTTTGTGCGGATTCGGGATACCCTGTAACGCAACTAAACTATCTTTTGGCATAACTGGTGCCGGGTTCTAGAAGGGAGAATACGTGGGTGGGTAGGAATTCAATGCATATTCTTGAGAAGCGACTGAGTGTGTGGAAGTTGTCTGCATTGCTTCGATGATGACTTTTCAGACTTGTCGGTGTGAGAAACACGTACCAGGTATTCATCGTTTCTACCTATCTGCGCTATAAATAGGCAGTATTAAGCGATACTTCTTCATTCGTCCACCTATGCATCTTAAACTCCTCCATAGACGTTAAAATTGCAGTGCTGTCCACGCAGGAGATATTGGTCATGTGATGGCGGGCCTATACATACAGATAGGGCAATGTTAAGCGAAACTTCGCATCTCAGTGCTCTACAGACGCTAAAATTGCAGTGCTCATCAAGGACTGCTTCTCTGCAGCACTCTGAGAGTGCCCAAAAGCCTGTTCTGTTCAGCCTCGCTAACACATTACCACATATTACAGCATTGCTCTTTTAGCGTCTTCGTTCCGTGAGCCCCACTGATGGCTCAAGCAAGCATATCGACGATCATCACAAGTAATTGTCCTGGAGGTGACAAATTTAAGATTCTCTAGCCTTTCGAGGTTGATAAGTCTGGTTGGGAGAAAGGTCATGGAAGCGAGGGAGGCCGCAGGATAGCATCCTGTGTGCAAAGAGAGACAAACTGCAAGGTTTTTTTGCCCGATTTCGATCAGGATCGCGTTGGAGAAGAGAATTTTTTCCAGATCCCATTTGCGATCCTTTTCAACCAATTTCAGAGCATGCTCAGCCTGATCAACGCGAGAGTGTCTTCAGAGCCTTGCGCTTACAGGCAGTCGGTTCGGTTTTCTCTTCGCTTTCTTCGCCTTCATCATGGCAAGCAGCAGTGCGTCAGGACGGTTCACCCATAACGATAAGTTGAGTTGATAGAAGTTGGTTATATCTCAGGTGAGCCTGAAGGAAAGATTTGGGAGGTTGTCGCCCACGGTGGGTTGAAAGTCTGACAAGGGGTCATGAAGCGAACCCCATGAAGCAAGCGAATTTACCCAGTACCCCCTGAAAATATCCTTCGGGTGGAATGTCGTCTATCAACTACTGACTATGAACACTCCTTATCAGAATTAGAGCGCTATTTAATTGAGAAGCGGCAGTATAGAAGGGGCCTTGGCCCAGTGTTCGCCTCCTAATTAAATCCTGGTTGGCACGTGATCATCAGGCCAAGCTGCTGACTCACAAGTGCATTTTCCCTCCTAACTCACTAAACTTTACTCCCTTCCCCTCTTGTCTCATGCACTGCAGTTTTTTTTATTAAAAAAAACATTATATTAACAACAGGAGTTGAAGAGAATGACGACCCACGTCGCGGTGTCAGAGCGCTTGTGCCTTCAGCCTTTGTCCGTCGAGGAACATCTCGAAGGCTACCTCGCACTAAATTCAGACGAGAGAGTTTCTCGCTGGTCGTGAGTGTCCTTTCTCCTCCACTCTTCCTCTCCTCCAACTCAATTCTCAATCCCTGTCCATTCCCCTTTAATCTATTTTATCAAGGAACCTCTGCTCACATTACTCAAGGCACCGTCCCGCAACAAAAGATCTAGACGACGCTGAAATGCTCATGTTGACCCGTCTCCCCTCGGCTGAGAACCCATTCATGGAGAACTACGCCATTATTTTGAAAAGCGTCGCTGAGGGCATGGAGGCGGGAGAGTGTGGCGGGATGATTGGTGTTATTGGGATCCCGAGACTTTCGCATGATGGGCTAGCTGCAGAGGTAGGATATGCGATTTTGCCGGATTTCTGGGGGATGGGATATGCTTCTGAAGCTTTGATCCTCTTCGTACGGCATTATTTTAATAGTGAGAGTAAGTCCTTGCTCATATTTCCAATTTCTCGTCTGTCTGCCTTCCTGTCTTTCATTCGTCGTTCGTTTGCAGTTGCTGCGAGAGAGGAGTTAAAGATAGGGGTTCGCAGCTAATGATCGCAAAGGAGAATTCCAGAAAGAATCTCTCGTAGCGGAAACAGAGCCCGAAAACACACCTAGCGAAAGGGTACTAGAAAAAGCTGGGTTTATCAGGGGAGAGCTTGTGCGTGGCGCTTTTGAAGTTGTGGATCCGGAAACGGGGGGGAAATCAATATGCGACGCGGTTCCTCGGAGGTTCGACGGGCAGATGGTGAAAGAACACTGAATATTTTGGAATATCGAATAAAGACGTGGTATTGGGATAGTGACAAAGACCTTCCCGTCCAGGGAGGGAGTGAGTTTGCTCAGGGAGGTGGTCACGTGGTCTGACTCACCGGCCATGGATAGGCCAGATTGAAATGCATGCTACATCTTGCATGTAATACGCCTTTCAATCTCCAATCCTCCAATCCTCCAACCATCTAATTCTCCTTCGCTCGCCTCTTGCCGGCCCCTATTAATCCAGAATGGCAGCGTACGCGGCCACCTCCCCACGTCTACACCTCAAAACTCTCTCCGAAGACGTCCATCTCTATGACCTACACACAATCCAATCAAATCTGCAATCTATGTTCTGGTCGTAGGTCTCCCATCTCTCTCATAACGCAATCATTAAGGGAAAATAGAACCAAGAAAGTTACAACTGATATCGAGCAAACTCGCGCGGTACTTCGCAACTCTCTACCAACTGAAGAGCAGCCTTGGAATGAAAGGTGGGCTATCTTACTGCGCTGCACGCCTGAGACTTTGTATGATCAAACTGGAGGAAATGACACAGCGGCCTGGAATCCATGGAAAGGGGAGACAAGCTATGTGAGCCAAGAAGAGATGGAACAGAGGAAGGCGGGAAAGTTACGCTTGATAGGCGTCATAGGTATTGTCCGAGAGCAGGAGATTGGATACAAAATCCACCCTGAGTTTTGGGGGAAGGGTTATATGGGTGAGGCGTTGCGGATGTTTATTGAGATGTGGTGGGGGATGGAAAGTATGTTCTCTCCCTCGGGTAAATATTAAAAAGGGGCGGATTGCTGATCCCGGTGACAGTAAATATGAAGTACGACAGACTGTTGGCAGCGGCAGATCCAGAGAATAAGGCGAGTTTGAGGGTTCTGGAAAAGGCTGGATTTCAGAAAGGAGAGTATAGGAAGGATTTCTATGAGAGAGGGGTTCTTGGGGGAAAGAAAAGTGATTTGCAATGCGTTTATCTTCTCAGACCTGCGACTTCAGGAGCGCAAGTCCCACTTCGGAAAAGGAGTTCAAAAGAGATTAGATTTGGAGTGGAAGAGATAGAAACAGAAGAGTAAGCATTGGCCTAGATACAATTGACGGCTAGTTGAGTCTCGGCAAATAGATTGCCAGCTTGAGAAGTAAATCGTTGTTTGTTGTTGCATCAGCGACAATAATACGGCCAAACCCTCTCTGAGTGAGTAATCAAAACACCGAGATAGTCTTTTCTTTAATCCTTGATGGCATCATCGTGGGCTTCAGGATATGAGTATGCGAAGAGGTCCCAAGGCTGGAAGGAGACCTCGCTTAAATTCAAGCAAGAAGCCTGCCACTCAAATTTCCTGCAATGTGAGCCGCGCTAAACCCCCTTTGTTTAAATCATGGCATCTTACATCTCCACAGACTCTGGAACGGCAAGAAGCAGATTCCAAGGGATCCAAAGGTTGAACATTAGACAGACAACTCCAGGAACCAATGGGCACCTTCCAGACAACGGGAAGGTGCAGAAATGTGGTCCCATCTGGAAGGCTGTTGCACATTTCGTTTGTACTCTTTGAGGGAGTAGTGAAGTGATAACCCAGGGCCTGCCCTCCCTCTTTCTAGATCAATCATCCCCTTCTCCCACCAATTCACTCGGGAGAAATCCGAAAGTTCAGCAACAACTCATCCCACCAACTTGGTCTTGAGCCAAGATGGCTTCAACCTGTGCAACCAACGCAACTAACCAGCAAGAGAGAATCGCCTTTCTCAAAAAGCAAATTGATGAGGAAGAGCACAAAATCCTCCTGGCACTCCAAGCCGAGACTCGCCGAGCGCACGAAGACTACAAGAACACCTTCGACAAACTCATGAAGTCTACGAACGGCCAGATCCTTAATCGCCTTCAAATCTTCCCGACCATAGTCACTCATCTCTCGCAGAGTATCGCCAATCGCAATGTCAACGATTACGTTTTCGCCTCAAACTCTGCAATCAAAGGCCTACTGATGACTTCGCTGCAGACAGTTATGATGGGAATAGAGGACCTTTACGACCAGGGCGAGATGTTCCTCTCGGGAGACGAATTGGAGAAATTCGGATTTTCAAAGAAAGAAAAGGATGCTGAACTCGAGCGCCATCGCTTGGAGATCCAAGCCATGGTTGACAAGATTGTATTCCTGGAGGCACAACTTGCCGATGTTGAGGAGAAATCCCGAAAGAAGAATGTCAGCGAAAAGAATTCTTCCGTCAAGGTAAGAATCCTTCCTGGACTGGGAGAGAGAAATGCAGCTGATATACAGCAAGAAACCAATTGCGGCCAACCTTGCAGAATTACGCGAAGACTGCGAGGCGGCCGTGATCAAACTCGAGGGCCACATTATCTATCTCCTCCGAAACCAGTTCAACTTCATGTTCTTTCAATTCGAGAGGCTGGTCGATTTCGACAGCCCATTGATGAAGCCATTTCGCGATGCCCATGGCGATTCCAACTCCACTGTTACAAAGATGCACCTCATATTCAACAAACTCCCCGAGAATATCGATGCTTCTAGGCGTACCCAACTCGTCAAGGAATTGACCGCTGGTGTCAGTCAGCTTCGCCAAACATACGACAACGGCCACAAAATCTTTCTCGAATGCACAGGATGTGCTATCACTGCACTTGATCCGAACCTCCCATCATATTCCAAGAAGGAGAATTTGGAGAGAAGAGCGCAAGGAATGAAGGCCTTGATTTTCGACTTCGAAGAATTTGACTGCCGAGTTGCTTGGGCTCATGCCGAGATGCAACGATATCGTGACGAGATCAGCAAGCTGGACAACCAACCGTGGGATGAAGAGATACTTGCCGACGCTGCAAAGGATGCTGACGAGCATAAGGAGAAGTTGGTTCAAGAACTGATTACGTTGAGGCGGGGAAGGTGCTCGGTGATCGATTGTGATTGCATCGAGAGGGAGAAGAGATTGAATGCTGTTATGTCTGGAGTTGGCACACAGATGAGAAACAAATACGACAGGGAGATGGTGGAGGAGCTTTTGGCTGGCTCAGAGCCGTGGAAGGAGGAGATGGAAGAGTTCGAAGAGAGAAGGGTGGCATCTTGCCCACGGTGTCAAGAAGAAAGAGCTCAAGCTTCAGGCGCAAGCACAGTCTAGTATGTCTGCATTATTCGACTTCGGCACGTTTTTGGGACAGCTGCTGGGTTGATTAGCTACACGTTCGCTAATGTTGCCTTTTCTGGAAGATGAAGAAAAGGGGCGGTTTTCACTCTCGAGAAAGTTTGTATCTGGGTTCACTCGTCAACTTTGAATGTTTACTGAATTACACGTGACACCAAGCGCTCCCTTGAAACAATATTATAATGATCTACTTGTGTGAGGCTCCTTTTCTGCATTTGTTTGCGAACGGGGTGTCGTCACGTGAACCAAGCGTATGCCGACAAATTTCCAATTCTCCTGTGTCCAAAATCTGACACCGAAATCAAAAAGACAAAGATGATTGGACTGACAGGAACCAAGTCTAAGCCCGAATTGACTTACATTATTCACTCGAAATATGTAAGTAGGGTATATATAATGGAAGCATCGAATGCCTTCATTAGTATAAGAGAATTATTTAGGGTTTGCCAATATAGATAAGGTATATTTTAATATAAATTCATAATAGTAGGTACCCCAAGCTGCAACTCTGGTCCAAGGGATAAATTAATTCACTCACTCGAAACGAAAAAATCGAAACGTAGGGGTAAATTTATGTATAACTTGCTCGGCATGCCCGGAATTTCAAAGATGGCTTTTTCATAACTTAGCAAAAGTCATGCGCAACGCGACACTATCTACGCGTCGTCTGAGGGAATCCTTGTGCGAAGGGATTCCACCCACTCTCAACCATATCCAATGTCCCTCTCGTGATTTTGTCAATTTCCTCCTTCTGCAAGCCGACCAATTCATTATCCAAGCCCCTACTCGATTCAAAGTCACCATCACCATTCGGGTAGAATACGCGCGCATACATGGCTTTCGCAAAGCCAGTTCTCAGTCCTTTCTGCATTTCTGCCTTCCCATGCTCGTATCTATCCAAGCTTGGCTCATATTCAATCTCCCAGTCCTTATCGGACGAGCCCGTGAGGCGGTGAATGCTATCCAGCATATCACGTTGGCTAGCCTTGAAGCTCGTGATGTACAACGGCTTGTTCCTCCATCCTGACACGGTTGGTGACTTGTCGTTCTCGTCCTCGGGAAGCTCTTTCAAACTCAATAATCCAGCAACGGCACGGCCACACTGTGGCCAAGTGCTGACATTGATGGGTGTCTTGCCATCATCGAAGAAAGTCACCTTCTTATTGGCGAAATCAAATCCGAACCAAAACGGACCCAACGCCAGACTCCACTCGTACCAGAAGCCACAAACAAGGACCACCCAGCTAAGACCCAAGCTTTCAATCTCAGCGATTTTGGGGCGAGAATCATACATTGCTTCAGCCTGAAGGGAGTTGTTGAGGATGTCACCACCGTAGACGTTGGGCATGACATAAGGAACACCAGCCTGAGCAGCAGCTTTCAAGAGCTTGCTCTGTGTGTCGGGAGGCGCGGTGACTGCGAGAGTGATAATCAGGAATTGCTGGCCCCGGAGAGCGGAGACGATCGAAGTTTCATCCTCGTAATTGATCGCAGCTGCATGAATGCTTTTCGGGACTGTTGCATTGGACTCTCCTCTGACCAGAGCTGTGACTTTATGCTTGCCGGTCTTGACGAGCTCCTCAGCGATGTGACTCCCTATTCGGCCACCAATCTGATGTAAATTAGTCGCCTAGAATGGTTCGGAGAGTGTGGCTTGGACTTACTCCGACAATAGCAATTCTCTCGATGAAATTAGTGAAGCCAGCAGGCTGGTCTTTGGCATATTTCTGAGCCATGTCTGGTGGGTGTTGGGATTATCTTGCTGTGTGCAGAACTTGCTGAATGGGAATGTCTCCTGCAAGGGAGGATGAAGTTGAACTTTAACGATCTCTCCCTCACGGGCCGGGGTTAAGGGAGGGAATCGCGAACAACGAAAAAGAAGGTGATTGCGGCAGCCGCATGGGGCCGGACTTAATGGACTTAGCTTTGGTGGGTGAATGCCAAACGCTAACCTCCCTTCGCGTTTTCTGCCATGGAATTGGGTCTCAGCCTAAGCATGCGGTACATCTAATGCCCGTTCTCATTTCATTTGAAGCTTGTACGGACAAAGAATTCTTCCGCAACGCTCATGATGAGAAATATTTCGGCCACTCGGACAAGAATCTTTTCCGAGCACATGGGACAATAAGGCTTGGCAACCGATACCCAGAACAGCCTAGCACTGGGCCACTATAGATCAACTTCTCCACTGGTTGAAGGATTTCGAGATGTATGAATGAGGATGATGAATTTCGGTGGCCGGGAGAGGCTTAAATCGGGGTACGATTATTATGGCAAGAGTTTGGCGAGGCATACCTCGCATTGGGCGCTGCGGACTAATTTTACCCCATCAAAAATTTCTCTCCAAGTACGTTCGCTATCCTTACCAAACTCTTGCCATAATAATCGCACCCCTCTAATTCCTATGAAGGCGATAGGCGCCCCGCTGCTGAGAGGTAACGGGAAACGCTGTAGCTGTTGCTGCAGCATAGCATACGACCACACCTAGAAAAGTGCCTCGTCACGTTAGGGGATGCGTGGCCAGACCCAGATCCAGGCGCCATCACGTCGGGGATGTATGGCGTGAGGTAGCGTAGGCTGTCATCTCTCTCGACGAGGTTACCACGTTCCAATTCTGCCCACAAACTTTTGCGCAGCACTTAAACAGCACCGCTGCTCAATCTTCTTGACATGCCTGAAAATTTGCATTACGAGGGAGAGTAACAGTTGCAAAGAGCGAAAAGAACATTCTAAAGCCTTCCTTATTCAACAGTACGTCCAATAAATCAACCTTTCAGTAGATAGGTACCGTCATCGAACTTTCAATGGCCACACATATGCCCTATAGGGAAGAACGGTCAGGACACTCGACCCTAGTTTAAAGAACCCTTCATTCATATTGAGACATTATCTATACCATTACACATCCCAGATGCGAACTTTTCCCTTATCGTCGTAATGCCACACTCTGTATTCCTACAAATCCCAATTCCATTGCTCCTCCCCATCCTCACCAAACGCCTCCAGCCATACAATCCCAATTCCACCGCATACATCAATAAAATTTCTCATTCCTCAAACTACTAGCCTTCTTCTTCCCGCCACTCCCCACTCCCCATTCCCCCCCTCTAACCTGTCCAATCCTCCTCAACGTCGAGGAAGCTCTCCCCAAACCCTCTGCACTAGAAGGCGGGAAGCCCGCCATTTCCCAGTCCGTCTTCTCTTCTTCATGCCACTCCTCCGAATCATGCGGCTGCTTCTCCTTGCCTGCCCTCGAGCTCGGACTACTCTTCGATTCCAAGATCCGCATCCGCTCAATCGCACCCATCATGACCTCCCAACTCTCCACCACCCCCTGACTTGCCTTATCGCCGCAGTCGCAATCACAACCACCTGGGCAGTCCGTGTTGCCATCCGCGTGGTATTCAGCGAGACAGTGCTCGTGTGTTGCGCAGCCGCAGGAAAGGCAGGGCGAGAAGATGGCGGAGATGGGCTCGCAGCAGACGGTGCAGCGGAGCTGGCGCTGGATGGTTTTGCAGCGCTCGCAGCGGCCGATAGCGCCGCCACCGAGGTTGGAGAGGAGGGGCTCGAGGCGGGATTCGTGTTTGAGGCAGTACCCGGTTACGTCGAGCCCTTCTCCTGAACCGGGGTCGGGTGTATCAGACAGCTTCTTGCCGAGGATGATGGGTGATGGGGGTGCTTGGTCGTGGTTTGCATTGTGGGTATCAGTTGAGAGGATGGAGGCTGCAAAGGATTTATTGTCTGGAATGTCGATTTCAAGGAAGTAGTCTTTTAGGCCGTTGAACTTTAGAATTTCAAGGCGCGCGAGGGGATGGCCCCAGACAAACAGGAGCTCGGCATAGGACTTTCGGTAGCTAGCGTAGAGTTGTGCGTGGCTGATGTCGAGTAGGGGTGTACTCATGCAACCTTCATCATCGAAACGATCTTGGTTTGCCATGGCAACGCTGATACCAGTGCAGAAAGTCGGCTTAAAGTCATCGCCCAGGCTTTCATCATCCGAGTATGGAGACCTCTCAGGAGCGACTTGCTCTTTGATACCCCCAAGCACAGTCGTCCCACCCCACGTGATGGCACTCGGGTTCAATGAACTGAGCATGTTTTCGACAGGACTTGGACGCTTTCGGTTTGGCGGCGGATTAGGTGGCGAGGAGGAAGAGGTCATGGTAAAAGGGCGACCGAAGCTTGCAGCAAAGCTGGAAGCCAACCCTGAATTGGCACGACGGACGGTGCGCGGATTCTCTGGAGACGTGGATAAGCTCTGCGTATGTTGATCTAGCTTTTCTGAACTTGCTCGATTTGACCTCAGCGGTGGGGTTTCTCCACAAGAATAAGAAGCCGAAGCAGGATCACTGCCCCAAGGACCATTTGATGACCCTAGGGAGCCATACAAGCCTGAAGGCGTTTGTGCCAATTTCGGTGTAGAAACGACTGAGTTGATCGGCGTCTTGGAGGACACGCTCCACTGAGTAGCATCTGTAGGAAAGTAATCAAGTGAAAAAGCTGGGGTCTTCATCGATAGCGGAGTTTGAGGTTGAGACATGTGCAATTCTGCTTGGGAAATGGCGTCTTTTGCGAAAGGTTCGTTGAAAACACATGAGAGCATCGCCAGCATTTGAACATCTGCGAGGTCTTCAAAGTAAGTGAACAAATCGGCAATGAGTTGTCTGGCAAGCGGACTGGTTCCCCATTTGACTCGACCAGACAGAGGGTTCGTGTGCTGCCGGATGTCGTATGAAACATCAACCCCACTATCAGAACCACTATTGCTGCGATTCCGTTTGACAGCATCTTTCGCAATGACCAATATTGGTTCGCGGCGATGAGTCTGATCGAGAATCTCTAGAGGGATTTCATTGTGCAGCAGCATCGCAGCGTACCTCCACACGTCGGCGAGGTCTGAATAACCGTGCTTCTCAGCAGCATTAGCATTGTGCTCACAAACATCAGGTCCATCGCCAAAGATGGCATAATCAGTGGCAAGTTCGATCTTTGAAGGAAGGAGATCACCGATTGGATGCAGGGAGATGATGTTCTTGGGCTTGGAAAGCCGTGCTTTGCCGATTCCAGTCCCAGTTCCAGTCCCAGTCCCAGTGCCAGTGCCCCCAGTGCTTGATCTCTGCGATAGAATGGTAGGAGGTCCTCTTTTGTAGGGACGATGGCCGGTTCGGCGTAAATATTCAGACATAGGAAACCTTGCCATGGGAAAAGGAGACGAATCCGAGTCACTCGAAGATGACACATCGGAGTCATCAGAAGCGTCCGAGTCATCCTTGATATCTGAGGCAAGGGACATAGCTGTCTTCCGGGGGACTGGAGAGCTGCCATTGTCCAAACGCCCGAAGGTTGGAAAGACGGGTTCTCCTCTGGATCGCGCATTGTTCTTTGCAACCAAGGTCTCCAAAAGAGATTTAACCTTGTCTTCCTTGGGTGGGAAGAAACAGGTCAGCTTGCCGTTAGCTGAGAATCGAGCTCCACAGTATCTTGGTAGGGGAACGTTTGCGTTTCGATTCATGGGTGTGAGCATATCCCCCGTCGCGCTCGAATCGAGTTCTTGAGACATCATGGCTGAAGCACCAGCAGGAATGTCTTCATTCTCGTCGTCGCTAGAACTCTCGTCGGCCAAAGCATCCATATCGTCAAGATCATCAACATCCTTGAAAAGTGTGGTACTCGATTCAAGGTCGACTTCTCCTAGGAGATAGCATAAGATTGCCTCCAAACAACCTTGTTTGCGGGCGACGAATCCTGCTGCTATTTGATGGACCTCCCGTTTCAATTTGCTGTATATCTCATCTGACATGAGGGAAGTTTTGCCGATGGTGAAGCTTGGTGCTTTGGACTCGGGGTACTGCTCCGGGAATACTAGGGTCACGTTGATGTTTATCGCATCCCCATCGTCTCCCCACGGCCCATTCATAGAAGCAAATACCGTCCGCTTGTCCATATTGACATCTTCGAAATCGATCTTGGGTAACTGGTTGTGAATGCGGATAATCTCTTCGCGCAAGTTTTCTGGAGAATCCCAATCTTCCTCGTCATCAAACTCCGGATTAAGGAGAGATAATCTCCTCGATACAGGCCTCTTTTGTGTCGTAGAGGAATTCTCCTGCTTGTTAAATTTGATCCCACTCATCCAGCCGATTTGTTTTTGATTCTGGTCTTCTGGTTTTCCGGGCTTGTCTTTTCCTTTCATCGGAGGAGCTCGCATTGCCATGTGGTTTCGATTCGGGCTTGCGAGATTCATCTTCTTCATACCAGCGCTCAATGCGCTGACTTTGAGGCCAGCACTTCCAGGGCGAGGACCAGTGATTGTAGCGGCCTTCTTTTCAGGAGACGAATTCTCGACCATTCGAAAGGTCTTATAGACAGCTCCTTTGCGAGTGACATTCAACTTCTTGCGGACCTGGGTCCCTTTGACATAACCCACTCCTCCGAGGGTAGCTTCATCGACCTGTTGGAGCCGAAGCTCATTGTCCTCTCCCCAAGACACTAGTTGAAATTCTCTGTTATCGACACCATCGTCTGTGATGCCACCTCTGCTCCTCCATAAGAATTCTTTGACTTTGTGGCTGCCATGTCCCGCCCAGGTAGTGACAGCTGGGGAATGAGCGTCTTGCTCATCCCCCTCTTTCAAACGGCGATCGTAGAGATGCAGATTTCCTGGAGTATCTTGAGGCATAGCCAATACTCCCCATCCAAACGGTGTGTGACGAGCTCTCCACACTGGGAAGTCGGTTCGAATGATCCGCTCGGGCTCGTCTAACTCATTGCCATAGTCCCAGAACTTGATGCTTTTGTCCAATGAACAAGTGATCACACCTGTCGCTCTTGTTCTGTTCCAATCGAGGCCATATATTTTCGACTCGTGTGCATTAATAGACCTCAAGGGTGCAGCCCCTTTTCGATCGTCCCAAATTCGAAGCCACCGATCATGTGAAGAGCCTAGGATATGAGAATCCTGGCGATTGTATTTGACCTGTGTCGCCCCACCAAACCAATCGCAGAACGTGAGAACTGGCTGTCTTGGGCGGCGTAAGTCCCAGCAGTGTACGTACCCATCCACGGCACAGGTTGCAAGCATGTCCGGATGGTGGGCCGAGAAATTGATATCGGTTATAGCTCTTGTATGTCCCTGGAGTGTGTGTTCGATGGCTCCGTGGGAAGCATCTTCTTGCATGTTCAGATTCCATACCAAAGCCTTCTGGTTCGCTGTGCTGACTACCCAGTAGTCTCTGAGCGCAAATGGAGACCATTGGACGTCTGCAACAAGCCATGGAAGCCCATGTCGGAGATGTCGAGGGGGGTTCCAGGGAGAATCGAGGTCAATAATATCGAGACCGTCGGTACTAGATATATGTTAGCTATGTGTTTCGGGATGGTGAGGAGTGCATACGAGGCCAGGGCAACATCCCGACCTGAAGGGGAGATAGTTGCTGATCCAACCTTGCGGTCGACGTGAATTGAGACATTTTCGTTGAATGTGCTGCTGTCATAGGCAGACTTGATCGTCTTCCCTTTCCTCGACTCGTCCATCATCTTGTCCTCCGAATCCTCGCATCATCTGAGAGCTGTAAAGTCGAGGCTGTTGCACTCTTTAAGGCGAACTGCGAGTTTCCGGCCTGCATGGTGCAACCAGCCTAATGTAAACAAGCCGCAGTTACCCAGATGCCATAATCTGCGATATGCGACCCAGAATAAATTACTGCGGGAGGTTGAGATATTTATTGTCGGGAAAAGCAGACTATAGACTTCATCCTCGAAGTGATGTCCGCAAAGCTCCCATTTCGGGCGTAGCACCGCAGCCTCATCAGACGCGGAACTTGCCGCTCAGGAAGTCAACGACGGACTGTGCGAGCCTTGCCTGGGATCACCATACTGTAACACCAACGGCTAACGGTGCTTTTGGACGATCGTCTTGGAAACGTTGAAATACTTTTCACAAAAGTGAACTCGGGCGTTCTGCGTTCTTTCTAGAATCACCGCGACCCGATACCACCAGACGACTCGAGAAGAGGACACTCGATCACAAGCATCTGCCCCGCCATCGCCATCGCCATCGCCATCACCATCGCCATCTCCATTCCTTATCGCCCTCAACTTTTCCAGGACCGAGTCTGAGCTCTCTTCACAGCACCTGCCGGTATCCAGCTGGCACGATCTGTACACGTTCCTGCCTCAAGACGACTGAGCTGCTGAATACCAAATATGGCCTTGCCAAAGCGAATTATCAAGGAGACGGAGAGATTAATGGCGGAGCCGTAAGCCAGCAGGTACTGCCATGCAGGGATTCGAGGCTGACATCCCTTTGTCGCAGTGTTCCGGGCATCAGCGCCGTTCCTCACGAAGACAACTTACGGTATTTCGATGTGATGATACATGGGCCGACCCAGTCTCCTTATGAAGGTGAGATCCGCCCGCGCAAGCCGCAGATTCCCCATAGTTTAACATCTACCCAGGCGGTATCTTCAAGTTGGAGCTATTCCTCCCAGATGATTACCCTATGACACCTCCGAAGATCCGATTCCTGACCAAGATTTACCACCCCAATATTGACAAGCTCGGCCGCATCTGTCTCGATGTTCTCAAGAGTACGCTGGATTATCTCCTCCGGAGCCTTGCATACTGTTTGTGTTGCTAATTCCATTTCTTGCAGGCAATTGGTCTCCCGCCCTTCAAATCCGAACCATCCTCCTCTCCATCCAAGCCCTCCTCGGTGCTCCGAACCCAGACGACCCTCTAGCACCCGACGTAGCGAAAAGATGGAAAGAAGATGAACCTGCTGCTATTGCAACAGCCAAAGAGTGGACAAGGACGCACGCGATGACTTGATTCCGCTACCCGACAACAACGATCCATGAGTGGTGGAGAGACAATGATATGAGTGATTATGAGGGAGAACATGGAGAAATGAAGCAGGGCGATGGTAGATGGGGCAGTGGTGGTTCTGCATACTGGAGTGGGATTGTGTTTTGACGGCGCTGGAGTACGCATGGTTTCTTTTAAATAGAGATCAAGGGGGATTCCCACCAGAAGTCGAGCATTTTCTTCTTTTGTGCAACTGTCCTTCTCGAGTGCAAGATCTTAGTGCTGTTGCAACTCGTGTGTGCATGTGACAGAGAGAGGCAGCATCCCACACAAGTGAGGCCTCCTCTTGAGCAATTTGGTGCAGCGGCACATGCCACATAAACCCCTTCAAGAAACCTAGGATTTGTGCCTCATCTTTCCGGCGCTCCAACTTTAACAAATACCAAACGGTCCCTTGTCTCACGCTGTCATCCCAGAAGTTCCTCCCTGGCGACCATGGCTTTCCACACCTATTTGCAGGGTGTGACATCGGGCACATTCAACATAGGTCTTTCGCAAGGCACACCAGCTTCAAACATCACCACCTCAACCTACATCCCCCACCGTCCATCCTCTCCCTGGAAGAAGGATTCCGGCATCCATGCACATCATCAAAACCCCGTCCTCCTCACATGCGGAGCACATGAAAAGCCTCTTGACACCGCCTTGAACAAGTGATGTAATCATCAACTCTCGATTCCTGGCGAAAGGGCCGCATGTTCGCCATCCACATCTCGAGATCTCAAGCCACATTTCGTCCCAAAAGTCTACAAGTAGCATAACTACTTGTAGACATTGACCGAGCATTTCGATGATACGATTGGTTCCCTCCTGCACCTGCATATACGCAGTGGGGATCTGCCCGAAATCTAGCCGCCAAGCTGGACTTTAAACACCTCGGCCTTCAACCGCCGCTTCCGAGGTTTTTTGGACCACCTCCATCCCACGCGTACCAGTCACAACTGCGTTCGTGCCAATTTAATGAAGTGCTGGCATTAGGGGAAACTCTATTTGTCAACACTCGAACTGAAATCCTGCCATGTGGGCGGCCGGAGCCATCTGGACTTGGCGAGTCAATTGAGATGCCGCTGGCTTCGATTTTAGGTTTGCCAACGGCGTTTAGTGTCTGTTCAGTACTCACAACTTTGCGACCGTTCTTCTTCGGGAGATTAGAGAGCGTCATTGTTTAGAGGATATCAAAGCCGACTTTAACGGCCAAACTCACGTTCGGAAAGACGCTTCGGAAGTGGCCTCGATTAGTCTGCATTCTAGTTCTTGTTCGTGCCCCCTTTGCCTCCTGCTAGGCTCCGGATCGTTGCTATCCATGTATCTAGTCGACTTCCCCGCAGTCTAGCACTTGCACTACCGACAACCTCAACTGCCAACCGAGGTTTTGATCGAGGAAATTGGAAACGACCGCTTGGCAGTTCAACCTTGTTCCTGTTTCCCTTTACTAGCTTGGAGCAGCCCTCAGACCGAGATCTCCCGGCACGGCCAGCACGTTTTCCGTTACACGCTGTCGGATTCCTGCAGGCCGCTGACCTGCGGCACGCCGTTTCTCACCTGAAAGTCAAAAATGCGGTTACACATGTCTTCGAATCTGCCTACCATGCATGCAATATCTGGCAGAGACTTGATCGAAATTTTGCAAGTGCAAATTAAAGCAAATTTTCGTGTCATCTGGCTCAAGACAAGCCACACTGGTGTTTGTGCAGCGTCAAATTTGCGTGTCCTTCGAGCAGAGGTAGTCCGAATCGAGTCTTAGGATGTACCCGAGTCGTGATCTGGCCCCTGCCCCGCGCCATATTTTACTGTAACGATTTATCCACGCCCCAGTCCCAAAATTGGATATGCACCTCGGAGATCTCAAAATTACAATGAGTAGGGGCAAGTTGAAACTCAGCAAGGTATGACAAACATGCGGGGGCCCATGTCCATTGGATGAGTATGGGCTCTCCCACCACTAGCTCCGGTATCCACCCATGTCTGGGGAATGTGTGCCAAGCATCTGAAGTGCCCGTCATGGACAGGGGGCAGCACGAAGGTGGGTCGTTTCATGGAATGGATATCAATACTTAAGTTTCCTACCTCCCTCGCACAGTTTCGTTATTTTCGTATCCCCTCCATCCGCTTACACCCACCTTTCCCCTCTAACAGAACAGTATTGTCACTTCCTATCGATGGATACTCAAGACAAGATGGAGCAACAAACCTCTCCTCCGCATCCGCAAAGCTCGGACAACTCGTCCAGCTCCTTGGACAAGCAGGTTCAGCCTACCAATACCCAGCATCTTGAAGCCATCCGCACCGTGTCGAGAATTCCAGGAAACGATCACTATTACGAGAAAGATGGATTGAGGACGTATGGAGATAATGAGGACCATGAGCACGAGCCAGCAGCAAGTTAAAATATGATCACTTATTCGATGGCAAAGGCTAATAGTCAACCACAGATGACCTTCAATCGCTTTATGTCCTTGACGGCAATGGCTTTCTTGTGGACTGGCTCCCAGATTCCTGTTTACCTCTTCGGTGAGATCACCAGCCCTGTCAGATGATCCCTCCGGCTGACAAGAGCAGGCGGTATTCCCCCATATATCTACGCAGACATTGGAGGAACTGATCGATGGGTATGGTTTGTACTTGCAAATTTACTTGCTCTGGCTGCAGTCTGCCCATTCGTGGGAGCACTGTCCGACTTGTTGGGGCGACGATATGTTGCCATTGGCGGTGCTGGCCTCATCGTTCTCGGCATGATCGTCTGCTCCACAGCGCATACTATGAATACGTTCATCGGTATTGGATCTTTCACCACCCGCTTTGCTCGTCCATATTGCTAACCCATCCCAGCCGGTATGGCATTAGCAGGAGCTGGTGCGGGAATCAACGAATTGACCGCCCTTGCCGCAACCTCTGAGCTGGCCCCTACAGCGAAGCGTGGAAAATACGTCGCAGTCCTCATCTTCACCATCCTCCCCTTCTGCCCTTCCGTTCTCTGGGGCCAACTCATTGCCTACCACTCCAGCTGGCGATACGTCGGTCTCCTCTGCGGAGCATGGGCCTTCATTGGTCTCGCCATGACAACAGTCTTCTACTTCCCACCACCCCGTGTGAACTCTACCGGCCTTACCAACCGTGAGATCATCTCTCGCATCGACTTCGTCGGCGGCTTCCTCTCCATCGTCGGCATGATCCTGTTCATTGCCGGTCTCCTTTGGGGAGGGTACCAATATTCCTGGAAATCTGCACACACTCTCGTTCCCCTCCTCCTCGGCGCGTTCTTCCTCATCGCCTTCGCATTCTGGGAGATGTATGGAGCCAAATACCCAATGTTCCCCTCTCGTCTGAAGAAGGAGCCAAGAATTCTAGCTCTTACACTTATCATTACCTTCATCTCAGGCGCTAATTTCTTCTCCGTTTTGCTCTTTTGGCCGACGCAAGCATTCAACGTCTACGGCCACGATCCAGTCGGTGTCGGAATCCGCGGCATGCCCATCGGCTTCTCAATCCTAGCAGGCGCTTGCATAGTCCTGTGGCTGCTCTCTGTCTTCCGCGGCGGCAACAGAGCACTCATGATCATCTCCTCCTGCATGATGACCGCCGGCTGCGGAGCCCTCGCCGCCGCTCGCATCGACAACATCAACGCCGTATACGGAATCCTCGTCGTCGCTGGCCTCGGAATAGGAGGCATCGTCGTCCCCGCTTCCATTATAACAACCATCATATGCCCCGACGACCTAATTGCCACCGTCGCAGCCCTTACCCTTGCAATCCGCGTCATCGGCGGCGCAATCGGTTACACCACATACTACAATGTCTTCTACAACAAGTTCGTCCCCAAACTCGGCCTCGGGATCGCCGTCGCTTTAGCGAAAAACAACCTCCTCGATCTACCCACTGTTATCGAAGCCGCAGAGCTGACGGGCGCAAGTTTGTTGGATAGGATATTGGATCTGCCGAAGATTAATGGCAATGTGACGGTTTGGATGGATATTGTCAAGGCCGGACAGCTGGCGTATAGTGAGGCGTATCCGTGGGTTTATTATGCAAGTATTGCGTTTGGGGCAGTGGCTATTATTGCTAGTTGCTTACTGGGGGATGTAGGGAAATATATGGATGATCATGTTGCGGTCGTTATTCATTAAGTTTAGAGGAAGAGTTAGAGCAGAGGTGTGGGAAAGGACTTCGGCGGGTTGGATAAAGGGGCTCGGTTACCGGGCAAGGATACAGCCACCTGGATTGGAAATAAATGGATACGAAAGAATACGAATAATGATTTGATTGAAGGGCAAGAATTTTAACAGGCCTTCTTGCATTTTCTCTACGCAAGTGCATTTCAATGCGCGGAATGTCCTTTGTTGACTCGCTTGCCATTTTCCAACAACCTCATGCTCTTTCTTTGCCTCGTCAAGGGGGCCCCCTCCCGTCCCGTCCCGGGATGCAGATACAGCCGCAGAAAGAGCAGGCAGGGGATATTAAAGACTGCCAGGAAGGAACGAGACCGATCTTTGGGGCTCGATAGACGCATGCAGCGTTCCGTGCTTCCTTTATGATGGGAACTCCTTCCACCAGAAATGGAAAGAACTGGGCCAGAAAAGGCCATTTATGTTTATTTAAGATAGCTCCCACAGGTAAGATACAAAACCTTTCTCCTCTCCAGAGATTCTTGTCACGTGTCCCGCTGATCGAGACCCACCTCACCGCTCCTGCCCTCTACTCAATTAGTAAACTGCCGAGACGCCTCTTCCACAACGAATGCATTGAGAAACAACTCTTCATCAAATTTGATGCTTTGAAATATCTGAATCAACATCAAAACATTTCCTTCATTCAGCTCGTCTCTGAGACAGATCGGTACCATCAGAATTCCGGGCCACCACCCCTCGAATCCACCATGGCGTCCCCAGCAAAGGCCGACATTCTTCTCCTCAGCCTGGCCATGCAACCCTTCCTCGACGACAGCTATTCCGCTCTAATCAACCAAATCTCCTCAAAAGCTAACATCAAACGCGCAAAATCGGCCTCCGGCGCCCTCAACTTCCTCTCAGCCCAGACTCCCCGCGCCATCCTCGCCACCGACGAAGGCCTCACCAAGCCCAGCAACGGCCCCGTCCTCGAAAAAGTCCTCTCCTACGTCCGCAACGGCGGCCTGCTCCTCATCGGCCTCCACTTCCCGAACTTCACAAACATGGACGTCTTCGACAAGTTCTTCGGGGATCTCGGCCTGCCCTGGAAGCATGGCGACTATCATCGTACGACGTTCCAGTTCAATGGTGGATGCACGCTTCCGGATGGGATGAGCAGAATGAAGTTCCCGGGCTCTTATAGTATGAAGGTCCTGCATGTCAAGGGTGCGAGGGCTCACGAGAAGATCTTCGTTCCGGTGCCGCAGGCGACGACGCAGTCTATGGTCTTTCCGCCCGAGTACGTTGATCAGGCGCAGGCGGCGATTGTTGGGGCGAAGATTGGAGAGGGGTATTTGGTTTATGATGGGAATGTCAATCCAGAAGAGGGTCAGAACAGGGTTGTTTTGACGCTGTGTGGCTTGTAGGGCAGTTGGGTTGGTTGCAGAGAATGGGTGGATGGCCATGGGGTGGGAAATTGATTGACGGGGTTGCTCTTATATTGCTAATCATTTGGGATACGGCCCTGCAGCGTAATTGAGACAGGTGTGGTTCGGAATTGTTTCTGCGGAAAATGATCGCTTCTGTGGCAATGGGGCCTGAAATTCCATTCGTTTGATCTCTGGGAACTTTCCCATGCGTGGGCCTCAAACAATTATTTTGGTCGTGGTGTCATGGGTGGTTTTGACAACGTGGGTTATGAAACCACTCTCGGGTGGACACATAGGTGCAAAGAAATTTGCTCAATTAATGCAGTATGTCCATTGCCTTCCGTTTTCATTACCACTCGGATCTAGCACTGTCTGCTGCAGACATAAACTGCCTCTGGATGCTGATCGAGGGTGTTCGGGAAACGGCTTGTGTATGCGTATGCGTTTGCATATGTTGTAAGGCAAGGCCAAGAAAACGAAGATCCATGAAAGGACTCACGAATGTGCTCCAAAGGCGTGATTGATACCCAAGGCGTGCAGAGAACATTGCCCGGGGATTCAAAAATGGTCAGAGCTGAGTTGCTGACGAAATTCTGCTGCTGAAAAGGAATTCTTAAGACGGTATGAAAGTTCGAGAGGTCGGCAAGAGTCAAGAACGATTGTAAAAGAAATTTTCGTGCTTGCGCTGCGGTAGGGAATATCAGAGTAGGAGCCGACTTGAGGAGTCTTTGCGGTTTTAATATCTCCTGCAGCATCCGCCAAAAGTTCTTCGAGTCCCCCTTCCTCCAGATCTCCGTCTTCCTCGTCATCTTTCTCCTTGGTTCCGATAGCCTCCTTGCAATGTTCAGTTGTGTTGTCGATTGTATCTATTCGACCAGAGGTCAGAACAATTGAACCATTGTTGTCATCCTTCATTCTTACATCCCCAGAGGGAGCAACTTCGTTCTCCGAATCCTTACTATCCTCGCTATCAGACGTCTCATCAACGACGGGGAAAAGAAGTTCCGCCTCGCGGTCCTCTTCCTTCCCTGCGTTGAGGCAAAGCCACACAGGAACTCTTGGGGGCGAACGCTCGTATCTTTCGTCATAATATTCTCTCCAAATCGAACGGAAGCGAACCTGGAATCGACTGGGCTCTTGGTCCTCGTCCTCGCTCTCGTCCTTAGATTCAGCCAGAAGCTCATCAACAGCAGCAGGAAGTCTTGCCTTGACATGTACCCAGCAGTCCTCGCAGCGATATTCCCTCTTGTAACGTCGAAGAAGCACATAAATGGATTTCGCTCTTCAGCAACAAAGATAACATATTCGGTGGAAGGGAAATTCCTGAGAAGAACTCGCAGGCCTGGTATGAATACATTGTAGTTGAACCGCCCATAGATGTCGACTGAAATGGCAATGCGGTGGATGCTGTTGCGTTCGACATAACCGATTGGACCGACGATCTGCTGCATTTCTAGCTCAATTTGGCGCTCAACGGGTGGGCGAGATCTGAAGTATTGTGTTGCAAGTATGGCCAACCAATGACTAAACAGAAGAGAGTCGACTTGAAAGTCAAACGGAATCGCCGCAGGGTGAGATTCAGTGCCAAAGCAGATGGTGTAGAATTTCAAGCCAACTGCTCTCGACTCCTTGGATGTATGAAGAATCGAGGGAATGACGGCATGGAAGGAGAAATAGCGATCATGGCCCTTGTCGAAGACAATAGCGACGACTCGACCGCCGGGAATAGAGTCCTTCCAGATCCTGTCTCGGACGCTGGCGGGAAGCTTTGGAAAACGGACGAAGTCACCCTCGGGAGCTGCGTCGGAAGGTTCTGTGGGCGATGGGGGTGTCTGGACGTCTGCCATGGCTGCATTGATTGCTTCTTGCGTGAGCTCTTCACCAGCTGTGCTTTTCGGAGTATCGTTGCCACCCATGTTGATATTGTGTTGTATCGCGGCTTTGCTGAGTTGAAGTTATGGTGTTGTCGTTTGAAAAGAGGACGAGGCGCAAAGCGGACGAGACAATTTTAAATACTTCAGAGGAGGGCCGTGAGTGAATAGATTTAAACAATCCTGAATTTTGAAGGTGATATGGAAATGTCAAGAGACACAATCACCGAATTATGTGAAGACTGAATAAAGATGGAGATTTTACAAACATACAGGGACTCGAGTTGAACTACACCATCATATTAACTCTCGCCATTTCATGATGAGACAAGTTTCCTTTATGTGGAACTTCCACGTGTGTAACAGAGTAATGGGATCGTGTTCGTATACGAATCACACCAAAAAGATGAGAAACTCGAAGGAGGGACCGTCGAGGACAGTGCACCTGACTCGCTCCTAAAAAGAAGACTCAAAGAATTTGACCACACACATCTCCATTACAACTGCATCTTTCAGCACAGGGCATATGCGTCGCGTGATCAATTTACCTGGGAAGAGAAGTGTATGCCAGAATTCAAGTGGAGGTGAACTATCGTCACGCATGAAAGCCTTCCAACACTTCATCGCACTCTTTCGGAGTTCGTGGCGTTGGAAGTCTCGAGGGCGTCGCGATTGAACATTATGGTTGCGCCCCAGTGCTCCTTCCTCGCCTTTGGACATTGCTCGGTGACTTCAATGGGCACGGCTTGATCCCTGAGGAGCTGCACGTCTCCGTTGGATCGGATGTCGAATCAAGTGAAGAGAAAAAGTGAGGCGGACGATCCGCTCGCCCTTTTTCTGTTGCTTTCATCGCTTCGCTGGGATAAAGCAGCGAGAGATCCTAAACGACTCAGCATATGAGCTGCTGGGCTTCCCACATACGGCCAGTGCTTAGCTGTACCAGAATCCGCTGGGTACTCACTGTCGGCTCTCCAGATCTTCTCGCTGCTTTTCGAATCAAAGACCTGACCGCCCTTTTCCAGTAAGTTTATTGCGTGGTTTTCTGAAACAACTGCTGATGCCTCGCAGCCACGGCGCCATGAGCGACCAATACCAGTTCACGACCGACCCGGTGGCTTGGAGTGATTGGCTGCAACAAGAGGAGCTCCAGCAGCCCCCTTGGTGAGTAAAAAAAAAGACATGCTCACAGAAAAAGGGCATGTGTCGGTCGTGGTGAGACTCTTCTTATAAAGCAGTGGCCATCACCCCTCAACCAGGTGCTGCCAGCCACGTACTCTCCGCCTTCTGGCGCAGAACAAGTCGACCCACTGTTTGCCGCTCCGCAGACCGAGGGGCAGATAGTTCTCCATGGGCCAAGCCTGAGCGGCAGCGGGGACTTTCCCCTCGATTGTCAACAATCCGAACAGGATCTGACCAATCAACCTCTTGACCTGGTTGCGGACCGCTCCACCGTTGCAGTCGACGACCCCGGTGTTGTAGATGTCGGCGAAACATCTGAGCTCTACGAAACATTACCGTAAGTTGGGTGATACTCCACGATGGAACGACCTTCTAATCTGGGTTCTCAGTTTCGCACAGCGCCTGTTGTACCCCGAGTCGACCTGCGCTTCTTGCAATGCTCCCCTGGATACTTCTGAGGAGCTGTTTAATCTGAACTCTCCGAATCTGTACTGCACAAGGAACCGATCACCAGATCATCTTAGTCTCCGATGCGTCGACAAAACCTGTCACCGGAAATTTCAATCTCTGGCAGACCTCAAGAAACATTTCAAACAAACCTTTTGGCACGCGTCATTTAATTGTGCAATTCCAGGATGTGGGGTGCCTCTCCCGAAGTGGCAGACGAAGTATCACTTCTTGCATGATCACAAAGGCGTTAAATATCACTGTGCCCAGTGTGGAACTGGATTTAATACCATTCGTCAACTGGATGGCCATGGCAAAGACACAATGCATTCCGCTTATGTCTGTAGATACCCCGAGTGCGGCTCTGAATCCACCAGATCTGGTGAGATGAATCGACACCATCTAAGCCACAAACAATCTGTCCCTCGGCATCCATGCCCTCACTGTCGCAAGTAAGCTCTTCCTATCATTTATACCTATACTGACATACTGCTCCCCTTTCCTGTTAATGATAATCGAGGCTTACTGTTATCTGTTCTCATTCTAGATATCGGGGAGACAATGGATTCAAGCGCAAGGATCACCTTCGTCAACATATAAGGAACTACCATCACATCGACGTCGATGCCCAGGACCCGGACACCGACAAATCGGCTGGGCATCCTTGCACCTTCGAAGGTTGCGATAAGACCGACTTTGAGACCGAGAAGCTCATGAAAATCCATCTCAAAAAGGAGCATCCGTCTCCTTATCAGTGTTCGTACCCTGGATGCCATCGCATCGGCACCAATGGGTGGATGCGTGAGAGGGACATGGTCAAGCACATGAAGAAGAACCACGAGGTTTGATTCGCTACAAACTTCGATCATGCATGAAGAACCCCATGCCTATGACGGCGTAGTGGACATCCCTTTTCTGTTTGGATTTTGCAATGGTGTTTTCTCTTTGCGTTTTAATCTGTGGTTTCTCACTGTTGCTGTAACGTTTCGTAGTTGGAGAAAGGGGGGGGGATGACTTTCCTATTGATTCTGATCTACTTGGTTGCTTCAGGTATTGCGGTGCGTTTTGACTTGGCCTTTGAACATTGGCTTCGACTTGATGTCTGTTCAACACAGATGTCTGTTCAACACAGATGTCTGTTCAACACAGATGTCTCCAAAATTGATTGTTGTTTTCTTCCTAAGGCTGAATCCCATTGTTGATATCTCAAGTGCACGCTGCGACATAATTCTCCATCAAGCTAACCTGCCTCTATCTGGAAAAGCTGAGTTCACTGCCCTATACACTTTACACTCGCCTTTATGACCCTTCTCACTCCAGCCCAGCATTTGACAATTCTATCCGCCGTCAGCTCGCCCTAGCTATTTTACCCATCAACTCACCTTATCACAATACCAAACCGACTCGCACCCCTTACACCTCGACAACTTCCCCGCCTCCATCTCCTTTCCACAAGCTTGGCAGCACTCCCTCCCTTCCCTCTCACTCCTCTTCCTCCCAACCACCTTCTCCTTATCCCCCATCTCAATCAACTTCTTCACACTAGCAGGGATAATCTACCCCACCCACCCAGTCAGCCCAGTCTCCATAAATCACCCCCCGCATGTAACTCACCTTCACCTCACCAACCGGAACCTCAACAAACCCCTGCTTCCCCTCACTAACCCCACTCCTCCTCGCGCCAGGCACCACAACAGCAAACCCCTTCTTAAACCCACTCACATCGTACCCACCACCTTGCACTCCCGCCTTGACCAAGGCAGCTGGGATGCGGAGCGTGAGTGCGAAAGGGCTACCGGAGGGGTCTTTGCAGATGAATGTTGGGGAGGTGGAGAGGGTCATGTTCTCGGAGACGGTGCCTATTAGGTGGTAGGGACTGAAAAAGGTTAGTGGATAAACGATGGGATGGGACAGAGAGGGTATTACGGTGTGTCAGGAGGGACATCGTCTGTGGCGAGGGGCAGGGAGGCGAAGGTGGGGAAGAGGGTGGAGTTTGCGAAGTCTGGGAAAGGAGGCATTATTGGCTGAGATGAGAGCCGCGAATTAAGCTTAAATTCCGACTCAAAACAAAAAATTGCCTAGTGAAAGATTTCCAATAGGGTATTTTGGGTGGGAGGAAAATTTGTGAATTCAAGATGACATGAAGATCTTTGACACGTATCTGAAACACTAGTCCGCCTCCTACTGAATGGTTCGGTATTTGAGAGTTAGAGGACATCTGAAGAGTGTGAAAGGTGAGGAACATGGGAACTATAATATTTTTCGATATCCTGGTTCAAGGGAGCGTCGAAAGTCCAAAGACGTCTAAACAACCTTAATTTTGGCAACCCGTCACGTGACACATACGTTCCAACTCACCTCATTCCTATGCGAGAGGCTAATAACTAGTGCTGTATAATACACGATTCTAAATCCACATAATTTACTCTTAGTAACAAGCTAGGTGTTCAATTCGGATTAAAACCAGTCAATTAATGAGCCCCTATTTTCTCGCTAAAAATGTGTGCCTGAAGCGAATAAAAGGGGCTGCCTCGCTTAGGCAAAGGCATCATTTATCTTGAATTTAATTGCTATGGGACAGATGGATATTACGCTGAAGCGCCCAGGATGGCAAGAGATTGCGTATATCGCATCAGGCTGTTCCAACGTCTGTGGAAAAGCTTGCGGATTCCCGGACGGACCTGCTGTGCTCCCATCTCTCCCAATAGCAGACAGGCGCCGTGGCAGTGGTCAATATCATGATGTCCGTCCGAGATCGTGCACAAAACGGAGGCCCGTACTATAGATATCCCTCCTTGACAACCACAGATTGTGAACAAGTCAACGAAGGTTTCGGGTCATACTCGTCCGAAGTCCAGAAGATCCAGGATACCCACACCTTTGGCCGGTGACACCTGACCTTCGCGTCAAAGATCTGCTTTACGTTGTTGTCTCGGTTTGGGTGAAGACAGCGGATATCCTAAAGGGGAACAAGATTGTTACTGCGTTGGGCAAACCCGCCCTCGGACACAGCGTGAGGATGCGGGCTCCGCTTGGGAGGCATGATAATTCTGAACTGTCTCCCAAATGGTGCTCTTCCTCTAAGCCATACAGCTATGTCGAAGAAATTGTATTTGCTAAAGATCTTCAGGGCGGGGGTTAAAATTGACCGAAGCGGTAAATTGACGGGGGATTGGGGCTCATCCACAGTCTTTTGTCCTGCCTCCCCAAGTATCCCTAATGAGAACCCGATATTTGTCAGGGTACGAGCGGGCATGCGCAACATGCTGGCTATCAGGAATGCTCACCCTGCTCACAACCACATAGCCGTTGGCCTCGACGTGGTCGGCGTGCTTCTCAACACACTGATGGTAAAACAAGCTCATCGGCTTCGCTATACGTATATATGAGCGACAGGCTTCGCGGGCTCGGGCCAGGTCATTGTGCGCAAGCCCCCACACATACGTCTCCTCTGGTACCTTGAGTAGCGTATACTTAATCGCCCACCACATCCCTAGCAAGTGGACGAGCGGTAACAGCAGAGTGCGGGTCATTCCTGCAGGCGGCCCAGCGAGCACGACTTGGGAGCTCGAGTAGCTCCAGCAACCAGGGGCAGAGTCAAAAATGGTGATGTGCGGTGGGAAAACGCCTTGGCGATCATGATTCGAGTTGTCGTCGCCCTCGTAAGCAGCGGGATTCGAAGATGTTACCGATAGCTCAGCAGAGAGGCCATACAAGTGATAGAACATACCTGAACCGCCATTGGAGATCTTCCACACCTTGAAAATGTCTCACAGCCCTTGTTTTAGGGCTTCAGGCCAGAATTACAAGGGTTGCAGCAGGCGTAGTACCTTAAACCACACCCTGGAGTCCGCTAAGACCCCTAGGCGAGCGTAAATGCCCTGTACCCCCGTTACTTTGTGCCGCAATCTTCGTAATACAACCACAATCAGATAACAAGGTTTCCCATATCCCAATCCAGTTAGACGTACACACTCAAACAATCGAGGGCCTGAGGACCTGACAGTTTTCATAGGTTTATAGACTTACGAAGGCGGGTATTTCCACTGCCTCTTAATTCTACCCGGCGCCGTGGCGGAACAGGCAGCTGTTGCTTAGAACACACCGTTACTCTGAACACTTCAAGAACTTTAATATTGTAGAGATTTACAATGAACAAACATAAATACGAACCTGTATCGCCATTGGAGCTTTTGCTAATATCAACTACAATAAACTTTAGTGTTGTGGAACGGGTTGAACTTTGAGGTGTTGTTAGTGAAATTTGACAGTGAGCGAAAATTATTACAAGCGATACGAGAAGAAACCTTCAAGTACAGGATCCTCACAGCAACACCAATTGAAGTTTTGTTTATAGTAATAATGGCACCTCCCGATACCAAATCTCAACAGCCTTTTTTTCTTCCATTCAGGTACAGTACGAAGGTCGCAGGGGTTGCACAAGGAAGCAATATCCTTGGTTTCATGTCGTAGGATCCGATAACAACCTTTGGACCCTCATTAGGGTCAAAAGACCGAGTGGTTGATGAGAACCTCGATTACCTAATTTAGTTTGTGCATCAGCTCTTGAGTAGATCTTTTGAAGTAGATACAATGACTTTGGGTCATGCATGTCGGATTTAGCTGCCATAACCGTACAGGGTATCTCCAACGTGGATAATATCGATGTCCCCCTCACTAACATCGATAGATTTGGAGGCTAGACAAGTGTCAAATTCATACACCCTCTTCACCTATTGCTTCTCGAAACCCCCAAAGCTCATAGTCATTACTTTAGCACAACTTCGGTTTCTCCCATTGCAACCCATCTTGAAATATCATCTGCTCAGCGGCTTCCGTCGTCAACGTCTCCGTCGTCCCCATGAACAATAATGTCAAAGGACTTCCCTTCCACGCTTTAATTGCCCTTGATCTCGTATGAAAATTTATCGCCCCAAAGAAAATAACAGAGCTCATAATTAGGTTAACAGGAAATATCAACCAAAACCACCGTACCTTGACAAAGATGGCGTCTGTGTAAATAGCTCCTAGCTATTCCTCTTTTTCGTAGCTGAACTACCCGACTGTCGTATGTGATTCGTTAGACTGGTCGCAAGATTGCCGAGAACATGCTCGACGGAATCAGATTGGTAGAACGCCGGCAGAAATGTTGACCCGCTATAGCGGTATCCTCCTGGAAGTTCCTCTACAACGCCGAATATAAGGTGCCTAATACCGGCAGCAAGGCCGTCCAAGGCCGACACAGAGACACCATATGTTCTACCAACATGTATTGGGCTCTCAGAGGTCAGTGCTGTGCCTCCGGGAGTTTCTGGAAGCCCGTCAATGACAACAACATCGCTTGTCCAGCGAGCTTTGCTGTATATCTGTGAAATATCTTGTGAGAGGATATTGTTCGTTACTGAGACAGTGTAGCCTTGTACACAAAACCATATGGCACAGTCGATCGCGGTAAATGGGCCTCCAAGGGATTCACTGTCTCTTAGCCAACCAAGAGCATCGAGATTTTGCGATATAAGCCCTCGAAGAGACGTTTGGAAACGAGGGTCCTGGTTCATCGCGTGGTAGCACGGCAAATACACTTGATGTAATAGTGTGTTGGCCAGGCATCACAGTCAGCCAATTCAGGAAATTTCCATTGGATAGAGTGTAGTTACAAGTGGGGACTTGTTTAGATTCTGGAAGATCTTGCCTCGTGGATGTTGTGCAATTCTTCATGTAAGGTTGAGGGTTGCAAGAGGAACAAACACCCGGTGATAGGACAGGCTTTGTCCACGTACAGTTTCCTGAACGGCAGGATACTCCGATATCTGCTAGGCTGATGTTGTTGGATAAACCGTTGTATATTGAATCTTGAGCTGGCCACGAAGGGGAAATTGCTTATGTGTCTTTCGTGAAACGCCAGCAGTTCAAGAAGACCAGTGCCAACTTACTTTCTCCATTACCGCTAAATATCAATTATCGCTCACTTCTGGCGACTGAAGCGGTAGCATTTGGCACAAGTACAGCGTCCGACTGAATAGTTAATACCTGTTGCGTAAAAGGATCAAACGCGATGATAAAATCTTGATCAATGTTCCTAAACAAGCAACCGATCTGCTCTTTCATCAGCTAGCATCTAACCTCGTCTCTCAACGAACCAAAGCGCCTTCACTTAAGTGCCCAAAGCAATCTCAAACTTCCAATCGCCTCCCTAGACGCATCATCAAACATCTCAATATCTTTCAGCTTCCTCCTCCGATAGGATCGACGCCACACTTTCCCTTTCGAAGAAAACCAGATCCATTTACACTGACTTAAACCAGAGCTAATGATGACCAATAGAGCGATCCGGACGATCGTCGATAAAGTGGCGATCAAGCCGTTCAACGTGATGCCGTGTCCGATATCTGAGACGGCGATGGTGTGTGGGTGGGCTTTCAGGTCGCCGATTACGCTAGCGAGAGAGGCAAATGCAATAATTACTGCGCTGATTTCTGCTAGCCACCAGCTGTTAGAAGTGGGAAAGCGGCGTTTTGGTTTTTCGATGGAGGAGAGACTGGTTGTGCTGGTTTTTGGGCTTTGCTTGAGTGTTTGTTCGGCACGTTCTCTGAGAGCGTATTGCAGATCACTGTTACTCGATTCTCTCCCAGAGCTCAAAGACTTTACAGGAATTCAGTACAGTTAGGAGTATAGTCAGGTAGAGCCGCTCAGGGGACGGAATATGTCCACGAACCCAACGGATAGGCTGTCAGTTAACGAAATATCAATGCAGGATTACAGCATATCATGAAGGAAAACTGCCTACGGAATGCAGTAGGGCCAGGACCCTGGAAGATAGGTAGCTAGATAGAGGAATATCAATACAGAACACTATCAACAAACCCCCCCCCCCCCGTATGTAAAACAACGCAATGCGTGAGATAATTTAGATTGTAATGTGATATAAAGGAGTGTGACAAATACTAGAGAATTTCAAGTAGCTTGTTTTAAGGAGCTTGAAGAATAGCTTCAAGTAATGATATCAGTTCTAGCGCGGTGTAAATTTAATTGCCAAATAGATGAATCAAGTTACTTATTATGTTTCTAAAATGGCCAAACTCCGACTTTTGAGTTTCGAATGAAGGAGCTTGCAGTCTTCTCCGAAGACAAAAAAAACCACCGGGGTTGAAAAGGTACAGAAGACAACCAGATTGGTTCCCAAAAATATTCGGGCTAATTCCAAAATAAGAAGATAACAATATCTAGGAGCTGACTACGATAGGCTCATGTAAAAACGACATGGCTTAAGAAAGGCCTAACTTTGATAACTCTAATACCTCTTGAAACGTTCAACCCCTGACAACACTACATCTCCAAAACCTCCCCCTCATGAATCCCTAATTCCTTTAACACCTCCTCCGTCGTAACAACCCTGCAAAATTCCCCTTTCAAACTCTCCACAGAAACACCGTGCACGGTGTCAGCATCGTACTTTCCCCCATGCTTTGCCCAAGCCGCAGTCGCATCCTCAATCAACATCAGCTGGCCCGGAACAGTCTCCCCCTTCTCATCAACATGCTTGCCGACATCCAAATCACTCGCATGTCTCACCGTCGTCCCCAAGCAAAGATCGACGCTCAACCCAGCAAAATAGATCTTCCAACACTTCTTAGCCCTCAAATACTCACCCAGATCGCTCCCCTGGAATGCGGAGTTCGTCGTCTTTGGGAAGACTGTTTCATGGGCTGCTGGATGAGAGATATCGTGGAACGACATCCCTGGGGAAGTGGAGTGCAGCGGTGAGGCTGGGTTCAAGGAGCGATGGTACACGTGCACGATGTGAGGGCCGGCAGGGCCGTGGAGGATGCGAGGTCCGTCCTCGCCTTGAAGGGAGCGAAAGGCTTTGAGGAGCTTGATGATATTAGCTTCGTAGGAAGGGTTGCTGCGCGCGGTACCCCAGAAGGGATTGTCGAGCGCTCCGGCTTGGGAGTCAACCATGATAAAGGCGGTGTGAGAATGATCGATCGACATTCTGTCGTGTTTCTGTGCTTGAATGTAGAAGGCGGGCCTAAAGTCTAGCAATGAGGGCTCTGAAGTGAAAGCGCGAGATGAGATGGAATTTGTAAGAGGGGGGTGAAAAAGACAAGAAATATCGGGCGATTAATGCGTCTTTTCGGAGCGTATGTGATTACATGATTTGCCTGTGTGCGAGCGCCCGGCTGGCGCCGGCGTCGTCAGCCCGAACTCCAGCCTACAGGATGTGATTTCGAAAGAGTGGAATTCATGAGCTGAAGCTTCTTTGTTGTCGCGATAAGGTCCCAGTGGTAGTCTGGAACTATCTCGCTTAATCCTAAAAGGTGCAGTGCGGAAAAGGGGGAGAGTTTCTTTTAAATCACGTGATAAATATCAGGTGTTCTTCTTCCTCCTTAGCCTTGTATAAAAGTAATTCCTTGTAGCCTATTATACTACGATTAGCGCTCCTCTGCGCTACCCAAATCATTCGAGGCCTTTCCTTTTTGGTGGACAATCAACACGGAAGTATCTTTTCCTACCGACCCCGTTTTAGATTGCCCAGCACAGTGCCCCACTAGGATCCCTGCAACTCAGCCTCGATGTATCACTCCAGGGTAACTAATGAAGTTGGTTCCTTATCGGTCCAATCATAGAGTTGCGCCTTCAAATATAGAACGACCAAACAACGTCTCATCAGCATCAGTGTCCAAAACGCGACGCTCACCTAGTTACTGTATCTGTTGCTCCAAGCTGACTGCAAGGAGCAAAACAATCCGGCACAGGAACCATGGAAGGGGTCTCGTCCGAACCGTATAAGCCCGCTCTAAATGCTATACACTCATCTCCCCTCCCATCCCGATAGCCTTGCAATCAAACTTTACTATCGGAGCAACGGCATCCCATCACAAGAATGCCTATAAAGTCTCAGACGACAATTGAGCCCACCAAAGACCATTTCCGTCTTTGGACCTGAGCAGTCGCTGCTCTAACCTGAGCCGAGGCCTGAGCCCCTGAGCACGACGACAAGTCAGCCTGAGCATCAGAGGGGATCCTCTTCCGGCCACCTTAAGAATCGGTTATAGTATCCACGTTGTCTACATAAATTTTGCTAATGCCTGTTGTCTGGAACACAGCCACCTCTTTCAACCTATCAAGATATCGTGATGGTATCCGTTCTCGCTCCCTTATGGAACTTAAAGGGGCCTTGCCGGAGCCGATCTTGGACCCCCTCCTGTCTAGTCGCACGTGATTAGTATATTCAGCCTCACAATTTACCGAATATTACTAACTCGATGTCATCGCATACAAGTTTATGATTTCAATTTGCTGAGCTCTTATACAACTTCTCTGCTGCAAGAATTCGCGTTCAAATATATAATTATCCCTCTATGGCAGGCGACGAATGATTTTGTATGATTATCAAAGGTACAAACGATAGCAATATAAATCTTGGGGCCGTCAACATCTGGGGCTCCTCCGAGCCTGTTAGAATAAGTCTTATAGTCACTTCTCAGCATTGATTCTATTCAATAGTTAGTTTGGGATTTCTGGGTGATTGTTAGATATCGATTGGAGGTGTTTTGGGAAAGGGGAGCAGATTTAAGACAGGGGATGAAGTAATCGCGCTTATTGGCTTATTGGCTTACAGTCTTGGCATTGGCTGCTTCGTCGGCATGGGGTAAGAGACTTAAGCTGAAGTCGATGTTCTTGTAGAGTTCTGCGTTGGCGAATTAGAGAGCTAGGCGTAGGTTAGGTGCTGGTGTGGAGATGGTGATGATGATGATGTCGTAAGAGAGGCTAACCTGAGAGGTCCGAGATGGAACGTGTCCCTTCCGTGATGAGTATCAGTGTAGCAGACTTCGAGAAGTGGGTGTTCCCAATTAAGGCATGCAATTCTTTTCTAATTATACGTAGATTGTTGAGCGGGGACAAAGTTCCTATTATTGTGGAACTTGGGTCCAACTAGAGGCACTTGATAGTTCCCAAGAACCTCGTCACTTCTTAGAGTGACTCTATGGAATCTGTTATTGCCGGTAGGCTATTTAATGGCATCGAGCAAAAGAAGATCGAATTATCCTCTTAATAGCCTACAACGATCGAAAATATGATAAAAATCCTATGCCGTCAAACCCTAGATCTAGATGATGACCTACTTTAGTAATGCGCAAAAACTACGCCGAGTTCGCAGATCCAGATTATCAGCTAGTGGGAGAAGTTTCGGAGAGACAATCGGTCAGAGGGAGATAGACTTTCCAACTGGACCGACCTTTGCTCGTTGTCGCTCCTTGGTCAGAATATCCAACACTGTCTCATCCTTATCCTTTCTTTTGCATCCACATCTACAAGAAACCCCCATTCCAGATCCAGATCCAGGTCCCAGCACCTCAATTCTCACTCAAACAGCCCTTAATAAATTTTTATTATTTTTATACTTTAATTCCTTAAATTTATAATAAAATAAAGCTCGATAAATATATAATTATTAACGAAAATTACATTATTGCAAATTGTATTAATTAAAATATAAAAGATTTAATAAAAAATAAAAATAAAAATCTCTCGAATAAAAAAGTTATATTATAAAAATTAAATTAGCTAAAGTCCGAAACATCTCGCGAGGCCAATGTACGATTTAAGCTTGTTGTCTACTCTTTTGTAGTTCTGCAAGTAGACTTTTATGGCTAGCAAGTCTCTCCCCCACCCCCCGTTTGAGTTCTGCACGATCTAGAGAATGATCTAGAGACAGATGTGCTCGTAACAAAGTGCCTTGTACTTCCGCTTCGCCTCCTCGAACTGGCCAGGCTCGGTAGCATCCGAGTTCTGGTGGAGAGGCTGTCCACACTCGTCGAGCTCGGTCGTGTAGCAAGGATCATTGCCTGTGAATTAAAAGTTATTGCGAATCGAGCGATCGATTTCTTTTTAGTAAATGGCCTAGTCGCCGGGGTATGGTTATGCCCATTTGGCTGCCAGAAAGATCCATAGTTCATAAAGAGAGAATACTACTCCTCCAATCTTGCGTTTCGAGCTTCTGCACTTGCCGTACACGAATACGAGCATTTCGTTCTGTAGCTTTTCTTATAGGCAAATGAAATGCCGACGTTAAATTATAGTGATCGTTGTGAGTGTGAACTGGTTACCGAAGATCTCCACCTCCTTGCCTATCCAACGCATCTCAAATAATCCAAGGCGCTGGAAAACATTGGTACTAAACCCTGGCATAGTGGTAGGAGCAAGAAGAAGCCCATGATTCTCCGTAATGCGAAGGATTGAAATTGGGCCAGTGGCTTTGGTGTTGAGGTCCATCTCTTCCCATGAGTCGGGATAGATGCTACCAATGACTTCCGGGGCGGCGTCCGTGCCTATTTGATTCAAAGGGGTTACAAAACGAGGTAGAGAATGGGTTCCACTGTCCGCAGGCGGAGATTGTGGAGATGTGTATAACGTAACGTATCGGCCGCCATCTTCAGAGTGGAATATGTAACATGTATTCCCTCTTGCCCTTGACATTAAAGGCCCTCTGATTTGAAGATAACCCCGTTGAGATGGGTCGACTTGGCCAAAGGGATCAGATGGAAATGTTGGGACTGAGGCGTCGATAAGTTTGATGTCTGGTTGCAACGGGGAGCTTTGTTGGCTGAAATTCATGAAGTAGCACTTGAAGTCAGTCGATGCCCATGACCAGGACGGGGCACGGTATGTTGATGGTCGAGGGTTGATGGCGGTGGATCGAATATTGATCCACCACAGTAGCTGGGACATGATATCGTTCTTCCACAAACCTGCTAGATATATATCCCCCGTTAAGGAGTGGATATGTCTAGCGTATCCGGAGAGTGCCGGTAATTTGTCAGAGGTGTAGGTCAAGTTCCTTCCAGTGAAATCTCGGATAATGTATTTCCAGTCAAACCTTGCTTTTTTCGACAGGTCTGACGGGCTTTGCATCGGACCATTCGCGTTGAGTTTTGTAGAGAAACATTCCCATACAAGCTGCGAAGTTTCAAATTTAAGGATGCGGGGCGACAGGAGGCGTTCTTGCAAACACCAGGCTCGTGTCTCGAGAGGCTCCGGTGCCTCTTTGGAGATGAAGGGAGAAAGCCTCATCTTGTATGGGACGACGTATACGGTTCCAATCTTACTATTGCCGAGGTTATAAGGTAAGGCGCAGCTAAACTTGGTCGGAACAAAGCTTGCAGAAAGTACGCCGTCGCTAGTCTGTTTGGCGGCCGATGCAGAAATGGTGAGTGTTGCACCACCATAGATATTGGGCATATTAGCAGCTTCTTTTAACCAGTCCTCGTCATTAATTGAATCCTGTACGATGCAAAGTGCATCAATCCAAACATATTGAAAACTAAGCCGCTGGCAGATCAAGATCACGTCTCTCAGTGTGGGTGGAAGTTCTGACAATGGTAACGTGTGATCCTTAGATGCCAACCTCACCCTCGTTAGCATTACAGGTTGTTTCGGAATTCCCCAGCAGTAACTGAGCGCCACGTAGATTCCTTGTTCTCCCAGCGATGAGATGTAAAGTGATGGTTCCCTGTCAGTGGAGCCAACATCTATCAAACGCGTTGGGAAAGGAGCAGTCATCTTCTGGGAACACTGGGGGTGATCATCAACACAAGTTTCGATCCACCTTCGGGCAATCTCATATGCAGCATCGCAGTCGTATGTGGTTAGCGGGGGTCTTCTCCAAATGACACTTGACGCCGGATCACCTTGTGAACTATCAGTCAGACGCAAAACACATGACCGCCCAAGACTTGCAAATACCTTCTTCAGCAACGAACACTAATTCCCGTTTTTTGCTTGTTCCACGAAAGCCTTCAATCACTTTGATCTCCTCGCCATCTCGGAATCCGTTGCTTGTTATCGCATCCAAGATAATGCCATCGCCCGCTCTATTGACGCCAGTCTCCCATCGTGGTGAAACCAGCCTACAGAAAGGGCAACCCTCTTTCGCTCCAGAAATTGTCGATGAGTTTGCTATGATGTCACTATGGTTCTCTAAAGGAAAGGATTGTATGTCGATGCTACGACAGTTCGCGCAGAGCTTTTCAATCAACTCCGCCGCACTGGGAGCGTCATAATCATGGCTGGAACTTGAACCTCCGAGCATGATCTAGTGCGAGCGCTCGATGAGTCCAATTCCAGTCTGAAGGGAAAGGGCTTAAATTCTATCCCCAGCGCCGGTGAGACATTGCTAGCGTGGCAGGTGGCGCGTGCATAGACAGCACAGCATAAAATTATGTACTCCCGCCTACAAATTTATTAGTAAGATACATTATTTGTATGGTATCGCGTCCAGCAGTCCCCAGTTCTGCACAGCGGCACATCACAAAAAGAGCAGCCTGCAACTGAGCGTTTTGCTACACCCTTTACCCCTTTAAGAGCTTTTCGCACTTCAGTCGATACGAACACCACGCGCAAGTGCCTTGTTTAGGGCGCTTCTTCCAGTAGTGTATGTGTACGAGATCAGGATTAAATACCCTCTTGCCTCCAAGCCCTACTCGCAAGCCCTCGAAAACGATGTATCTTACTAATAAATTTGTATGCGAAGGTACATAATTTTGTGCTGTGCTATCTGTGCACGCGCCACCTGCCACGCTAGCAATGTCTCACCGGCGCAGGGATAAGCAGACGAAGTCGGAGCTTTATGAGCTCCGATCGAATGACTACTTACCTAATTAGAAGGATTCGCCGGCCAAACGCCCACACGACTCAACCGCTCAACTTCATTTTTGGAGGCCTTAACGCCACAACTTTGAAGAAAAGACACGATATTTGTGATAATTAGAATATTCTTCATATTCTGTGAAGTTTTTAGAATTTTCTAGCAACTTTGAAAAATCGATAAAATTTTGGTGGGGTAAGGGTGGGCGGTTGAGTGGTTTGGGCGTTTGGCCGGCGAATCCTTCTACATGTGACCTGCCTATCACATGACCTGAACAACAGCAGAAATCCAAAGAACGGTGTGGGCTTCTTGGCTGGCCGGACCTAATATCACGTGCTCAAAGACAAGGCTGATTCTCTATCTCTAACCGGTTACCAGTACTCGGGGCCGGTTTTTTACCCTACAATTCACGCTAAAATTAAGGGACAAGAACGTGACTAAGCAGCCTCAGTAAAGCCTGTTGAAGCTGTTGAAAGGGTAAGGCGAGGGTGAGTAGCGCCTGAGCAGAGCGGCGACGCTGACTAACCGCGTTGGAAGCGAAAAGGCAAAATTGTCGTCTGAGACTTCCTGAGTAGTCTTCCCGCTGTGCTATCTAGTCGTAGTCTACTTAGCTCGGAGCATCGTGACCCGCCACGGGGTCGGCACTACAGGTGGATTAAGGATCCGATCGAGGAGATTATTCGCCATACTATCGAAGTCCGCAATATTATCCCCCTTAAGGTTGAAATACGACCTGCATTTGGGACAGTTTCGGTTCTCACCTGTAAGCCAAGTATAGATACAAAGCTTCGAGAACATATGTCCACAAGGAAGTCTGACTGGAGTATGCCATGCAGTAGCATCAGGTCTTGTTGCTTGAAGCAGGCTACAATAGCAGATTGGGCATTCGTCGTCCTCGGCCAACTCCTCTTCTTTGACGATGGTACAAAGTGCTTGAACTCTGTTTGCGCATCGTCCGAGCCACTGAGCATGGGCGTCTTTCGCTATCTCATAGCTTAACTCGATATCCTCAAGTGCGTGAACTTGCGCAGTGAGGTGAGCATATCGTAGCTGCAAAACGATTTTTCGCTGGTCAACGAAACGCTGCTTCAGATCTGGATTGCGATGCTTTTCCATCGCATCTTTCATTGCCCAGAGCAAATCATCGCATTCCTCCTCAAACTGCATAACATACAATCTGTCCGTCTCCGTCATACTTCGTTGACGGTCAATTAGTGCTCGTGGGTTATTTTTGTCGAAGTGTATCGGTCCATTAGGGTGTTTAATATGGTGTCGGAATATCTTGCTGAATCTGTCGCTGCAGAGGGCAAGGTTTGGACGTCTAACATAGAGGTTTCGTCGCTCAGCGGGCATGGTTTCCTGTCCGAGACATTGGAAGCAATGCTGTGGGCGGTCGATGACCACGGTTTTGAGCTCACAGTCTTCTGGATGGTGAGTCCAACTGAAGAGCCAGTCAGGGTGACTGGTAATGTGACCGCATTCAGCAAAGCGAAACTTGTATTGCCGACACATAGTTCACTTTTTCTCGTCTGCGCACGGAGATCTTCTACCATGTAATTTTGATTACGTCGGTGAGGTTCTTCCTTGTGATGGGCTCAGGATAGTGGATAATGAGGAAGTAGGGAGGATGTCGACCTCACGCTCTAGCTTGAAGACGACTTTCGCGTGTTGCTTGTCCTTATGTCTTGTTTTTCTTTTCCATCTAATTCTCAAAAGCGTTTTAATTTTGAACGCGTCTTCATCCTTAAATATGGCGAACAAACGCATTGTTCGCTTGTTCCAGATTCTGTTCTGCCTAGACTCCACAAGTTACTGTTCTCCCTAAGACGAGAGCGCTGCTTGAGCATATCCCTCAAGCTGCATTGACGTCCTCTACTTTAGGCCTCCATTCCACCTGCCCAGTCAACTCTTTCATGTCATCACCCCCAATCACCGCTCTAGGGACAAAGGTTCCCAAATTCATCTCTAACTACGCCCCTTCCTCTCCAGCCCACTCGCCGTTAGTTTCTTTCACTCAATATTTCTATCTGATTTCTTCTCGGTCCCCTGTCGGCCTCTTTTCAACACCTTCTCTTCACTCACCTCCTGGATGGCAACCCCCGCCTCGCAACCAATCCAGGCACGATAAAAACAACATGCAATTCCTTCTTGGCGAAAACTTCTTGCCAACTTTCCCCTCTTCAAGGCTTGCTAACTACCATCTATCTGGCTATCGAGTTAATATCGGCGTTCGTCATTGTAATAAGGAGCTGAGGAGCAAAGCTCTACGGACTAACGAGTATGGCGGTCCCAAGAAGTGTTAGGAGGTCTCGAATCGCAGCCAAAAACCCTTTTTTTGAAAATGAACTTACGTCTAGAACATCGTACTAAATATTTTCAACATCAGCAGCAAGCTTTGCAAAGGCCACAGCACCTCGACTAGTACCACCCCTCGCATGAACGAAGATCCGATTAATGTTTGCTCGTTTTTGGCAACCGATGTAATTGGTTTTCATTCTTTGTATATGTAAATTTGGAGTTCGCAAAAATAGAGGGAGCGTTGAAAGTCGTGCAATGTAGGTGGGTGATTAAGTTGGCGAGCTGCTGCCGCGGGCCAGAGGAGAGGGGTATGAGTGTTGGATTTCGTAGAAGGGCATCTTGGGATTGCCAAGAATATACCTATGAAAAAGTATAGTTCCAAGGTGCACTTTACATAAGCACCGAGAATATGGTTGAGGTTGATATAAGTGGCTGGACAACATGTCGTAGTTGTCCTTCAAATGGACGAAGTGTGTTGTTCGAATAAGCGACTCGCCCTGCCCCGGTCCGGCTTAACAGCGTGCGATCTTTTTGCACTGCTTTCTCCACAACAATAAAAAATGTATTGTTCTCGAATCTCTTTGTAACTGACCTTTTTCAATACTTTGTTCTTTAGTTAAAGATGAGAGACCCAGATTCTTAGAAAGAATAAACCTTTGTCTTATCCCAAAAACCCCGAGTGTCAAAACAAAATAATTGCGCACAACATTGTATCTCTCCCTCGGGGAGTATCGCTACCCAAACTATACCTAAGGCATAGCGCTTTGACAAGAATCTCAGAATCCGAACTCAGAAGCTTCTATTTCTTAACGAACACTTACAAAAAGAAGAAAGAGCACCAGGAAAAGAAGCACGAAATTCAAAATGTGTCAACTTTATACCATCACCAATGCCTGCAACCACTCTCATCAAGAGCTCCAGAGATGCCATCGGGGCTGCTGGTAGGACGATACTCCGCTAAGAGATGTCCCTGTCAGCCTTCAATATCTGTGCGACAGCTGCACCACAGACATAACAAAATCCAATATAGGCAGCCTCCCGGACTTTCCGGATAGCACCGGCCTCCAAGAGTTTCAGGGAAGAATGGCTCGCGCTCACTATCTCGCGGAAAGAATTAATCCATCCAGCACGCATAGTCAACCACTTCCAAAAGACCTCGAGGGAAAGCCGTTCAAGGGGCGAATTAGGAGGCAAGATCTCGAATGCTTCAAGGACATTGAGAAGATGATTCAGGTGATGTTTCATTTTCCTCTCTGCCCTGGACACTTTACCTCTTTTCAGCCCCTACAGCGGCATCTTCACCGTTGAATTGATCAAGCAGAGATCGGCCTCCTCGACGACGATCCTGTTTCGAGAGCCGAAGATGAGGATTTGGAAAGGCCTTGGTGGATGAAACATATTCGGGTGACTTTCGAGATAAATAGCCCGCTGTATGTAAGATACAACCAACAAAAGTGTTTACTCTATTGTTTTGCTCCCTTGTCTATTACACTAATATAGAAGTAAATGTTCTACTATCTCCTTCGATTTTATTCCCTTAATAACTTATTACTTCATTTACAAATAAAAACCCGAAAGTAATAAAGAATATATCTTTGTCTTATAATAAAGGCACGAAGACTAAAAGTATTAGTATACTATATATTAATATAATATGTAATTTATATTAAATGGAAGTTTTATTATTCAAGTAATACTACAAGTATAGAATTTAAGCGCACGATGATATAAACATTAAATTAAAGAATCTTGACTCCTAATAAAGTATTTATGTAATGGAACCCTAAAGAAGAGAGCACATACTCTAAATTTTGTCGGTGTAACGGCAAGATTCGCTGGCGGCTTCCTTCCCAAAGTTCCCTGCACGGTGGTGCTAAATTGGCTGGATACTAGTCTTCTCAATATTGTGAAAATAGTTCGTTTCATCCTCAACCGCCTTAAAAATTCTGAGTCTACTTCGCCGGAATTCATTAGCTGTGCGTCTTGATGGCTCTACTAGGGGCACATGATAAGTTGACTAGCGATCATGATAAGACGACAAACCTTCCTGCTTGTTGTCCGAAACTTGCAAGCAATGGACGATACTACCTGGCTTAGGAGGCTCTAAGTCAAAGCAGCATATTCCTTCGCAAGTTGTACTCTGGTTTTCGAATGTATCAACCGATATATGGTTGCAAATGTGTAGAATTTTGTACAGTGAACTGATCCCGCGTCGTACCCTCCTGACACCTGAGTCTGCTGCAATCACTGCCATTTTGACTCGGGCTTTCATGTTGATCGTACCTCGCTTGATGCTTGAGGTCAAGGGTTCTCCTGACCAATCCAACTCGGTAGATTTAATCTCGGCTTCTTTAGTCACGCTATAGCAATGTCCCGCCCATTTCGCAGACCCCCGTTTGCTTGCGGGTCGTACACAGCCGGTTATAGACACCCAGGACCATGTCGGAATACCGTCGAGTGGTGAACGAGTGGCTGGGTCTCCCTAAAGAAGGCCGAAATACAAGTCAACATCCCACAAACCAGCAATTAGCTTGTATCCAAGGGAATCGCTTAGCACGCGGTAAGACACTTTCCCCTCCTAACTTCCTCGCTAATAGAAAGTATATTCTTACTATTACTAACTGTCATATATACGGGTACTAGGGAGCTTAGCTTCGCTTACTCAGCGGCCCCCTTTTATTTAGCTAGATCCAGAGGCTCCCTTCAGAGCTTCTTTTAATCAGACAACTATTTATGCAAAATCACTATTCCTTACTATTTGCGATAGTTATGAGCCCGGAGCACTAGCTGTATACTTCTATTAGTAATTAGTAAGTATTCTAGTAATTACGGTTATTCTCACTACGGCCGTAACCGCTAAAAGAACACGTTTTACCTGTTTTTCTCATCCTTTATTTCTCTCTTTAGAATAGCAGCTCTACTAGTCTCCGATATACGCCTTACTAATTACAGGAGCTTTCCTGAGTAGTATATAGGGCTTAAAATTAATTCCACCTTTTGTAATATATAGTACCTCATTAATCCCGATACTCTAGAAGCTCCTTACCTGCTTTTCGCAGAGCCCCTTATATCTCTTACTATTAATTAAATAATTAAGTAATTAAATATCGAGCGAAATACTCTATTAGCGATATAGAATACGGATGGGAGGCCGGAAGCAGAGAAGGAAGTATAACCAAAAGCTTTATATCTAGCTCGTTTTAATAATATTAAAAAGGAATACTCGTTTAGACTTAAGAAGTATACTATTAAGTAATCGAATTAGTTAGTATAAAGCTCTCGGTATTAGAATATCTGGAATTAGGTATACTATATAGTAGAACCTGCTCTGCTTATATTACATCTTAAGTTACTTGTTTTCTAGTAGAAGCTCTCTCTTTAGAATATTATACGAGCTCTTTATAATAAATTCCAGCTATTAGAGGATAATATACAGGAATAAGTAAGGGAGAATTATAAGAGAATTCTGGACTATAGCAAAATAGATTTAGAAGCTCCCAAAGCCTGGATCAATAATTAGTACCAAGCTCTTATATAAGCTTAAACCTACCGAGTTACGGAAGTTAAAGGGTTTCTGGTAATTAAGGATTTCCTTTAAGTAATAGCTACCAAGTTTCTACCCACTTAGGAAGTAGAGTAACTTGCTTTAGTAATTGAAGTTAATATTATAGTAGGGGTTTTTCTTTCTTGTCCCGTAACTACTATTATATATCCTGCTTCCCAGGCATACTGGCGCTAGTTTAAGGGGTTATATAAGACCTCCGTCTATATATATAATTAGCCTTCCTAATATATTAACCTTTAGAGCCCCTTATTTTTAACTATTTGTATTATTTCATTACTAGTACTAAAAGTCTTAAGATTATTACTTCTACTTATTTAGCTTCCTATCCTCTTTACTTCCACCTATATATCTAATACCTATATATGGTCCGAAATCCATATAATAATTAAATCCCCATTATAATATACTTAGAAAGCCCGTTTATATACTCGAGTAATATAGAAGGATCTTTAAGGCCCTAATTTAGTAAAACGAATACTTTTTATTTGGGATCTTTGCTTTTCTTACTAGATAATCTAATTTATAAGGTTACTTATATTCTTATAAGAAAATAAAAGTAGAAAAGCACCTATAGAAACCCGTTAATTACTTTATTCTAGAGCTTATAACTACTAGTTCCTATATCAAGAAACTTAATCTATAGCCTATA